TTATATTATGTAGAATGAAACAGTAATAACACGTGTATATACCAAACCCACAGGCGGCTCTAGAACGTGAGAAGACCCACATCTCGGACTTCGCCCCCGAGGTGGCGTGGGTGACTCACTCGGGCTCCTCGGAGCTGGCGGAGCACGTGGCCGTGAGACCCACCTCCGAGACTGTCATGTACCCCGCGTATGCCAAGTGGATACAGAGTCATAGGGACCTGCCGCTCAGGATCAACCAGTGGAACAATGTTGTGGTACGTACAACGAGATGTATGGGCGAAGAGGTGTGAGTGTGGATGAGATTGCGTTCGTGTGTACGCATGCGCCGGATTGCACGTGCGCGTGTATGTGTGCGTGTGTGAATGTGGATGGCATTTCGTATAAAATAGGTTGGAGAAAAAGTTTCCTCGCATTTTTTAAGAAAATTCAAAACATTTTTTAATATAGTTCATTTAAATTTAACTAAAGTATGTAGGTATGTACCGTTTTGTTCGATAACCTTTTGCCATCTTGTAGGTAGGGACTTGATCCCATTGCTAAAAAAATTTTGGGACTTCTCATCAAAATACCACGACAAGTGGATTTGGCAGTCCTCTCGTGATGTTAACCTAACATTGCCTAAAGAATTCCGAAGTGACCGAAACAGGTGGAAATCTGAAGATGCAAGGTCAGGTCTATACGGCGGATGCATTAACACCTCCCAGCCAAACTCTTAATTTTTGCTGGGTGGCTATAGATGTGTGAGGTCTAGCGTTATCATGATGAAACACCACACCCCTTCTGTTGATCAATTCCGGCCGCTTTCTCTCAACTTCTTGCTTTAATCTCATCTGTTGTTCGCAGTAGAGTTCACACACACAGACGCCACAGTCTGTGAAGCCTGACCGGGCCTTTGACTACGACCTTTTTCGCACGTTCTTTTCGTACGTGATCCATTTTTCATCACCAGTCATCATCTTCTTCAAAAATGATTGGGTTTCATTACGTCGTAATAAAGAATCACAAATGAGTACACGGTTTCTTTCAGTGAGCTCGTGAGGTGAGGTAAAATGGCATCCATTTTATCCGTAATACGGCGACCAGAGCGAGGTGCATCTTTGACATCAAAATTTCCGGATTGAAAACGCCTAAACCAAATTTGAACTACTCTCACAGACACTGTACTAGGTCCATAAACATCGGAAATTTTTTTCGCGGCTTGCGTTGCATTTTTACCTTTTTTGTAGTAAAATTTTAAAACGTTCGAATTTCTTCATAGGATTCACTCATCTTGACAGTACGAAAAACCAATGAAAATCACACATTTGCCTAATTTGTATTTGGAATTATGTTCTTTGAAATTTGAACTTTTTAATGATAACAGAACCAGCCAGATACAAATACTACAGCCAAAGAGATTTTATTACAAGTTCATACATACTATAATGTGAAAAGACTTTTTCCCAACCTATTATGTAGTTAAAATTACGTACTTATAACATCTATATTAATAGCTACTTTCTATAGTAATTTTTGTTATTTTATTACTTTCCAGAGGTGGGAGTTCAAACAGCCTCAGCCTTTCCTTCGCACGCGTGAGTTCCTCTGGCAGGAAGGACACACGGCCTTCCGCACTAAGGAGGAAGCGGACAAGGAGGTTCTACATGTACTCGGTACTAACAAACATACCAATAATAATACACCCATATACTATATATAGTAGATTTTTATTTTGATATACAAATATATGTGATAAGAAAAATGTTAATAATTATATTTAATAATATCTGTTTTGAAACTCATAACTTATTGTAGTGAATTTATTTTAAAAAAATATACTATTGTAATAAAAGATATATATTTTTGTAGATAATACCTTCTCTTACTAATTATAACATATAAATGCAGATCTGTACGCCCAAGTGTATGAGGATCTATTGGCTATACCGGTTGTCAAGGGACGAAAGACGGAGAAGGAAAAATTCGCGGGAGCCGATTACACCACGACGGTAGAAGCGTACATACCTGCTAGCGGCAGGGGCATACAGGTGATAATACTAGTTACTTTCTAATAATAATACATAAACTTTATATATATGTACATATATTTTTTAATGCGAATTCCTCGATCGTTACATTATATTTTTTAATATAAAAAACAAAACTTATATGTACTCGTATATCGAGTGTTAAATGCTTGATCATTTAATAGCAATTCCGTCTTCAATTACATGATATTTAGTAGGCATCGGCATGTTCAAAAAAAAAATTTAAACTATTCATAGTTCTATAGAAAACTAAGTAAGGAAAAAATCATAAAATAGATGACCTATATTATGTCTTTTTTTTAATTAGTCTCTCCATTTTGTTGACTTAAGAGAGAAAATTATTTATAAATGTACAAGTTGCTTAATAATATATTATCAACGTCAGGGAGCTACGAGTCATCACCTCGGACAGAACTTCTCGAAGATGTTTGAAATAGTGTACGACGATCCCGACACTCAGGAGAAGATGTTCGTGTATCAGAACTCGTGGGGCCTTACTACGAGAACTATAGGTAAATAACTATGAAGGAAACTATATACTACTAGCTGCTCCTCGCGGATTGCCGGGATGTAAAGTTGCCTATGTGTTATTCCTGGACGTAAGCTTCCCGTATACAAAATATTATCAAAATCGGTTCAGCCGTTTGAGCGTGAAGAAGTAACAAACACTCACAAACTTTCGCAATTATAATATTAGTAGGATAACAACAGCAACCGTGATCAAGGTCAACCTTAATTTCATTTAAATGGGTACAATCAAAAATGTTAGAAAAATAAAAACTATGAAATGAAAACCCCTCCCACTGTAACATTTTTTACCTACTGTTCTATTCATCGAAAACATATCGATAATTTTTCCTACTATTCCTCAATTCTAAGCATATTTTGAACAAAAAAAGTATGTACCTAAATCTGGATACTTTCGTAATAAACGTTATAATGCTAATAACTTTAATATTTCAGGTGTGATGGTGTTAGTACATGGCGATGACCGTGGGTTGGTGCTTCCTCCGAGAATAGCCAGCATACAAGTGATAGTGGTGCCGTGTGGGATAACGGCGTCTAGTACAGACGAAGAGAGGAAATCACTTATAGACGCCTGCAAACAACTCGTTGAAGAACTGACTGCGTCTGGCATTAGGGCTGAAGGAGACTACAGGGATAACTACTCTCCGGGATGGAAGTTCAATCACTGGGAACTTAAGGTGATTTATACCGAACATTTATAACGAACAACTTTCTTTACTATTAAATTTGGGAAAATTTAAATTATTAAAAGTTGGGAAATTGCCAGGAAGAAGTAGAACTTTCTTTACTATCCATATGTATCTTAAACCCATAGTAGTTCGTAAATTATATGTTGGTATATTCCAAAAACATTGTATAGCAACTCCGGCAATTTTGGACAGTGTGTTGAATATTCAAAAGTTCCTTTAGGATGGTCACTAAAAAATAGTCCGTTTTATGGATTTCATGTTATATAAAAAAACAAGCAAAGGTTAGAGACTATAGAAATAGAAAGAACTACATATTATTTAAAAATATAATTTAATTCTTTTATTTAGGACGTAATCATCAAAAAATTTCATACAATAATTTTAAGTTCGCCAATTTGTCAATTTATACAGGGTGTCCCAATCCGAGCTGAACTGGGTCCCAAAGATCTCTCTCGTGGTGAGGTAGTGTGCGTGTCACGTGTGACGTCATCTAGGAGCACCCTCAAGAGGGACGGAGCCCCGGCCGCCATTGCTGATATGTTGGAACAAATACACAAAGATATGCTGGCTAAGTATGTATCATTACTAAAGGGTAAATAGCTGTATGCCTAAAATATTTCAACCTTAGTCATTATATTTCATTAATATAAGAAACATCAACCAAAAATACTGATAGAAGCATCATGCATCTTAAACGACCCTTTGTTTATATTATTTTTGTAATATTTTTCGTAAAAGAGATCGCATTTTACCGATATGTTTTTCCTTGTGAATTATTTTTATTTATTACATTCTTCTCTCTTTTCTAAGAATATAATTTACATGGAATTCATATCTAATCACAGGGCTACTAAGGAGCGTGATGAACGGTTCTCCATGGTAACTGAGTGGGATGACTTCACTGATGCTTTGGAACGGAAGCATCTATTATATGCACCATTCTGTGGAGATATTCCATGCGAGGATAACATCAAAAACGACAGTGCTCGGTAAGGATTTACTCATATTTTATGTATAATTCCATCCAATGGTTTCAATGTGTGAAATATTTATTCCTAAATTTATGTATACATTATGAATTATTTTGTTGCAGCACTGAAGATGATCCTACCACAGAAGTTAAAGGGCCAGCGATGGGCGCTAAATCCCTTTGCATACCTTTCTCTCAACCGCGACCGTTGAAGCCAGAAGATAAATGCATACATCCACTTTGCAATAAAAAACCCCAGTACATTACACTCTTTGGCAGGAGCTATTGAGAGATATTTTGTAGTGTCACATATATTTATTACAAAATTTTGAAATCATACATTTTGTTTTACTATGAAACTTGATTAAGATAATTAAATTAATATAAAGTTAATGTTATTTACAAAAATAATAAAAATGTAATTTTATTTATTTATCATAAGCCAGTTATACAGAAATAGTATTTCTTAAGTTTATGTTGATAAAAAAGTTACAAAAGTTTTGAAAAATTATTTAATTGTAACTGTATAAATAAGATAGATTGTGCTTAGCACTATTATAGATGATATATTGATTAATTTCACATTTTAAAGTTCAAGATACTAACTAATGTATGTGTAATATATTCACTTAAATTTTAATAGATGATATTTTTATTAAACATCCCTTCACAATTTTGGTCAGCAACAAGATGTTACTAAGAATTTTTTTTTAATAATTTATAAAGTACCTATCTACTTCTCTGGTAAATATAAAAAAATAATACAATACAATTTTAATAAATATATTACAATGCATTGGAATTTTCGATATTACCCTCTAATAATTGTATTCTTCTCTTTTTACTATTTAATAGTTGAATAAATTTGCCATAAAGATTACTTTCTAAAGAATCTTTGATATCCACCAACTTTTTAAACTCAGCTGTACTCTTGTCCAAATCACTATTTAAGATATCATTTGTTTGTTTGTATTCATCAATTATACTTTGTAGATTTTTATTCTGGTCTAGCAAATAATCTATTATTTCATCTTTTGTCAATTCATTTGTGTCTCTTTCTAAATTTACAGAACCTTGTAAAATCACAGCACTAGACTCTGAAATAGATTTTTTCCAGCAGAATTTTGCTGTTTTCGAATCTTCTATCGTTAACAGACAAGTGTATATTTCATTGGTTTGTTTCAGAGCATCTTGGACTTCTGAAAAATACTCAACCTTGCTTTTACGAAGTCGTTCCTGGAATACTTTTGCATTGTCGTATGAAAATTGTCCAGACCAACTCTGATTTTCCATTAAAATTTGTATAGAAAACAAGTAATCTGCCGGGTATTTCCAAAGTATTTTCGCGAATGCATTTTTGTTGGATATGCTTAATTTAACTAACGAACTTTCAACAACTTCACAGTCCATTTTAAGGTTATTTTTTTCTTTCAATAACCCGAATTTTTGTTTTTATTTCTTTGATAGCTTTCAGTCTTCCGAAACAAGTTGATATACAATATGTAATTTACAAATTATATGAATATAAAAGGTACATCAGTTTTGTTTACATTCTACCAGTCACCTCTTTAATTGAGGTTGTCAACTTGACAAATGACAAGTGTTAACATCCAAGCGTGTAGAAACATGCACACTTTAATCTGCCCTTTGATAAGGATATGGCTTTAACATAAAATTAAATTGAACAGCTTAGAATGAAGTCATAATTAGGATATCTAAAAGGACTTAATATGTCCAAATAAATCTCGACTCAATACATACCAGGATGGTAATCACTTCTCTCGTAAATTTTAGATTCAAGCAACCAACACAAAACTCCGGGCATGTTTAGGTACACTTCTCTAGGTAGGACATTCTTAATATTGGATCTCGTTCTAAAATTTAAATTATATTGAAACTGATAATGATTTGATAATTATTTATTAAGTTGAACTTGTATTAATATTTGTTTATTTTTAAACTGAGTCCCTTGTCTGGTTTCATTCAAGATGTCAGATGTCACAACTTCTGTTTTGTAGGTTATTTACGCGCTACTAAGTGATTACTTAGTAGGTAGGTCCTTATAACATATTATATTAAGTTACTTAAAGTTTAGAAAGTGACGAGATACTATCTTATGAAATATGACAAGTAGTGAGGAAGATTCAAATCATTCAGAGGAAGAACAAGAGCAAGAAGATGATGAACGTGTAAGTAATAGTATTTTTTTTATCATTATTGACAATAATAACAATTTTATTTTAAAATAATTGTTATATAAATATTTCACGATTTACAGCTGGCTATAAAAAAGGAGATATCTTCATTGTCTTTTGAAGCCCTTCAAAAACTCAAAGAGAGGATAGGTGCAAAAGTTTACAAGGAAGTAATATTTGGCGAAAATAAAAATGCAAAAAAAGAACCTAAAATATTCAAACGTGAAAATAAAAATAGACCAAGAGAGATGAGCTCAAAGAAACCTGTTTCAATGTTACAAAATGTTGTTCCCGTAAAGAAAAAGGAGGTTCGAGATCCAAGGTATTATTTTAAATATTTTTTAAAAACTTACTTTGAACCAATTAAAAATTTTGTAAAATAGAATATACCATAAGAAATTGTATTCATCCAATATTTTATATCCTAGTATAAGTAATTTCACAATTTAATGTTGACTCTTTCATCGCATTGCAAATAATAATTATTTATGTCCCTCAGGTTTGATCCATTATGTGGTAATTTTGATAAAAACGAGTTTTCTACTAATTATGGATTTCTTTCTGATATCCGAGTAAATGACATAAAAGCTATAAGGGCCGAATTAAAACAGACAACAGATCCTGATAAAGAAAAAGAATTGCGACGGCTACTACAAAGACTGAATGACCAAGAGAAGGCTAAAAAGAGAAATAAGATACAAATGAACAACTTGGAAATTGAAAAACAACAAGTAGAAAACAAGTTCAAACAGGGAATTCAGCCGCACTTCAAAAATAAATGTATGTTCATATTATAAAGTAAATTTTAATAAAAATATTAATGTATATGTCTAACTAATAATATGTATGGTTTTCAGCTGAATTACGAGTTGAGTCACTAGTCAAACAATATGAAGAATTGAAAAAGGAAGGGACAGGTCGGATCCAGAGACATTTAAAGAGGCGACAACAGAAAGTCAAGAAGAAATCATTCAAAACACCTATTATAGGCAGTTAATATTGTTCTTGATCCTGGTTTAGGATTTTATGTTAGACCAAAGCCAAAAAACATCAGCTAAAGTTTAATTCTTAATGATTCCCAGTACTTCAGAATTATTACACGAACTTCAATAAAGACTTCTGTGAAGTTCTTCACTGTAAATCATTCAGATTAAAAATTATTCTGATTTATTTATCTACATTTTTAATACAATTTCAGTTGTTTGGATTAAACAACACTGCAATGTTAATAAGATTTTTAAACTTGAAATAAAGTATTTAATTGAAGCAAGTATTTTTCTGAGTCCTTATACCAATACTTTTCCTAAAAATCTTAACTTTATTATAAAAGAAAAATAATATTGCATACATACATACATTGTGTACACAATGGGACTTAAATGATTGTTGTTCATTTGTGGAGGGTGTGGGAGGTAAAGAAAACTTTTGGGCATCGATTTTATTTTAGATATTAATATGATAAATCTTTGTATTTTTGTGCTGTTACATATTTTTTTATTGTTTCCTAAAATTCTAAAATTCAAGTATCAAGTACAAAAAAAACTGACAGGGCAAAACTAAAATTCATTGACCATAAATAACTTTTCATTTTTAGTATAAAGAAAGAACAAATAACATAATTAATATAAATGAATTAAATTTAGGAATTGTAAACGGTTACAAAAAGGTTTTATTTGTGAATAAATTACACCACTTGCTGCTAGCAGCCGATAGCAAGTTAAATAATGAGAAATAAAACTTTATTTTATGACAAAGCTTTTAACTTTCAAAATAAAATGCATTTTAAAAGTACAGTATCGTCAACTTGAAACAGCTTTAAAATTTTCATTCATGTATCTTCGCATTTATTATTTTTGAAGATTTCTGAACGAAAAAACTTCACCATTTTTCACTGTTCACGGGTTGTTTGACGATGCCAACTAAAAGTCAATAATTGTTTTAATATTACTTCTCGCAACGTTTTTTTTTATTATACATGTAATATAACACAAAGCTATTTTAAACAAACAAGAGAAATACAAATTCAATTGAAAAACAGCATTTATATACTAAACACAAGCTAAATTTTTGTTTCAAAGTTTAGTTCGAGGTCAATTTTTGTAGATAGATACTATTTCAGACTACTTTTTGTTGTACGGAAGTATCAATTATTTTTATGCCTAGTTTATCCATTGCAGAATTTTTTACATAAAAACCATCAGAATATGGGGATTTCGACGTCACTTCAGTTAGTTTAGTATTAAGCAAGCTGAGAAATTTATTACACAAAGCCTTTTCCATATCAACTTTTAACTTAAGAAATTCTTCCGTGTCCTTTAAACATTTACGATACTCTTCTTTTATACTTTTAAAGTCCCTTTTGTAGTTATTAATTTTTTCACTCAAATGTGTATTCAAGGCCAATAAAATGTCTGTTAAGTCTGGCCTTGGTACCTCAGGAGATTCCAATTCCACGGGTAAGAAACCTTCTATTATCACAGAGTTATTCTTTTTTCGTTTCCAATAGAAGAAACCACTTTTCAACTCGTACAAATAGTCGTCTCTTTGTTGTGACAGACATTTTTTTGTGTTATAAAAATACTCTTTTTCGGACATTTGTAAATTTTTACTGAAACCTGATAATCGGTTAGACGAAAACCTTCCCTTCCAAATGTTTTCTCGATCATAGATATAAGTTTCGAAAGATTTCGACTGCCATCCCACTAATAGGTAAAGTGGTCTTGATTGAGTATTGATTTTAGTAACAGTTATAGCTTCATCTAGGTCCATTTTACAATTTTTTAAATTTTAATATTTCATTTTAAAGATCAAATTTTTAGTAGCTTTTTTTATGTCAAACGTTTGATTTCTCTCTCGTCTTTTATGTAAATGCTTATAAGTCAAATTAATAATATTAGTCAATTTGGAATGTTCAAAAAGTTACTATAGGTAACGTAAGTTAATTTCATTCATATTTATTTAAAGGAACATGTTGTCAGAAGAATATTATTTTAGTGTGAAAGATAAAGATGCTCATTAAGGAAAATACCAGCACCATAAATCATAATCTTAAATAACGTAAAAAAGTGTTTTAAACGGTTTTTGTGTTTGTTGTCTTACGACTTGATATTAGGTACCTACTCATATCGCTCAGACTTGTAATGTGCATCGTAAAGTTTTTGTTTTATTTTATAAGTTGTCTAAACTTACATTTAAAACTAAGGAAAATACATTAAGGAATTTGATTAACTCAATACTTGTATGATTTATCTATAAGATCGAAACCTTTTTTAATTCATCCTTGTCACTTAAATAATAATTAATGGATCTATGATGCATTTTTATTTCCTGCTTTTGCTTATGGACTTTAAAATTTGATAATTTATAATTTGAAAATTCCATTGATACTACGAAGTTATAAGCATTCTTAAATCTATATATTTCAAGTAATGTCTTCAGCATATACTTAATTAAGATAATATTATTAAGAAAGTCTAATAGTTTGTTTTAATTATAAGTTATTAATTGATTACTTATTTATGTTAAGGGTTTGAACGAAATGCCTTTATAATAGTAATAAGACTTTATACAAAAGTAAAATAATATCTTGAATTTGCGAATACTTGTGTGGACAATGCAAATTCCTTTTAGTCATAAATATAATAGAAGTGAAACTTGGGTGAAATACTGTTCGTGGGGTTTGTTTGCTATCCTAAAATATATAATATAACATAGATGTGTAGGTATTAAATTATTATGTATTATGTAATATTAATTTGTTTACTTTACATTATCACAGACTCTTAATAAGTATATAAAATTCATTTAATCGTTCACAGTCTCTATATCTAAGCTGCTTCCACTCGAATCATCGTCTGAAACACTGCTAAAAGACGAACGATTATTTCTAGGTAGAGACGTGTCTTCGCTCGTTCTTTCAAAACCGCTTATATGTTCTGATTTTACAAATTCAAAGTTTTGGTGATTTTGATGTGTCATCCAAATTCCATTCTGTTGAATCGGTTTTGAGTTTGTTGAGGGCAAAGTCACTGCTTTGGGTGGACTTAGATTTCCAGTCCTTTCCCTCCGCTCGCGAGCTCGTCGATTTTGAAACCATATTTTTATCTGAAAAAAAGTGAACAATCAGTAACCATTCGCTAATAAAAACACAAATAAGAACTTTTAAAACGTAAAATTTTGAAAATACAAAGAACTTGTAATGTTTTATATTTGAAAAATTATCAGATAACGAGATTAAATTCTAGCACCTCTTCTAGATCACTGATTTATAAATATCTACCAAACCCCTGTTTTACCAAATCTCTGGTTAATTGTATTGGCCTGCAAATCAAGAACAATTAATTCTAATAATTTCAATTTGGAAACAAAATTTGAACACCCTATTAGCGTTACGTGTTCATGGGCGACTCTTGCCTAACATCGACGTGTGTCCGTGCACATATTCTTCTATAAATAATTCAAAGGTACTAACCCTATCGTCTCGGAGTTGTAAAGCCGCTGCCAGAGCCCTAAGCGCGGGTGGAGCGAGGTAAGGAGACCTGGTGTAGGCAGCTTCTAAAGCCGCAGCCTGTGTCGCTGTGAATGGCACTCGTGCGTGACGACCAGAACGACGAATGCGGCAGGCGTTTGATGAACCTGATATATTGGTAAAAGGCACTATAGAGCTAACGTTAACTTGGTTTTAAATCAAATGCTTAATGGGATCTTAGACTTTCGCGGGTAACATGTCGTCTGCCCGTGATCACGGTTGCTGCAAAGTAACTGTAACGTGAGGAGTTTAAAGTTTTTAAAAATAATAAAATATGCTTAGTAAGCCGAAAATATTAGTTTCATTTAAATGGATAGGGACTCGCGAAAGTCTTAGATCTCATTAAAAAAACTAATATTTTCGGATGTACTATGTGCTTTTTATTATTTTAACTACATACTCCCGACGTTTCGCTTACTTTTCGGCAACCGTGATCACTGTAAATCTTAAAATATGAGTTTTATTTAAAATTGCTATTTTAAATATAAACTGGATTTTGCATTATGCAACTATGCAAGTATCCATAGCAAGCACCATTACCTAGTTTAAGAGTTGAAGATAGCTCGTAATAATATAGATAACTTAAATATTTAAATTGAATAACAAATAATTAAGAATTTATTTCTCTTTCTCAACCTTCCGAATTTCAGAATACCTAAGTGTCTTATATATTTTAAACTTAACTTATTTTTATTTTCAATTTTCTACAAATAAAAATCTGAATTTAAAAGTGTGATATGAATTTGGATGAACATGTTATAAATTTATAATAATTGTCAATTTTTAATTTAAATTAGAAATCCGTACATAAATTCATATTTGGGTTTGTGAATGAATTAAATTATTTTAATAAAATTTTAACCAAAATTGACAAAAAATCTACTAACGTGGAAGTCTAGGTGGCTGATATCTCGTACAGCACAACCAGTTCGGAGACTGTACATGTTCCTCCCGTCTTTTATCCTCACTTAAAATCCTCTCTATACTAAAATCTGAACTGCACTTCGAACCGGATTGGATAGGGGTTAAATTCATAATGTCCAGGGGATACTGAGGGAAAATATCTATTTGCTGAGCTTATATAATTCAAGGGTAGACTCGAAATTAAGCTCCGCCCTATTAAACGAGGGTTGTAACGTACCCTATTTGAAGATGTTTATCAGCCACCGCAATAAATGGGTATCATGCACCAATGAACTCCTTGTTAACCACTGTTGTGACGTCGATTCATTGATACAAAATACAAACAAATGGGATATAGTGAACACAAAAGATGTTATAACTTTAAGGGTATGTGAGAAAATTAATTTGTTACTTATATGTATTATATTACAATTATAATAAGTTATTATGAATGAAACTCTATACTCTACCGCTGTGGCTTAGTGTAATTTCATTAATAATTAAATAATCTTTTGTTGAATGAATTGGTTTTTAAATTAGTTTTTCAAATAATCATTAACTAATCTCTAAACTCAAGGTAGTCTGGTGGAAATCGATGTTAATCGAAACGCTACTTCTTGTTTCAGGCGCGTTTTATTGTTCATCAGTTTGTAATAATTTTTATCCTTTTATAATATTATTATACATTTATAATAAATTTTATTTACTATAAAGCACCTTAGGGCACATTTATGTGGCTGATATGAAACAAAATTAATGTACTTTTTACTTAAAAGTTATCTGTATATAAAATCTATTACGAAAGTACTTTTAAATGAGTTCCGTTATTCGTTTTTGTACGCAACAATCTATCTAACTATCTATAATAATTGAATTATTACGTTTACCATCAATGGCGGGTAAGTAGTTCAAGTGGCGCTATTTTGTACAAACCGGTAACAATAATGGTGACAGTCATTCAATGTGTATCTGTTATCACAAAAACATTCGAGATGGACCGCAATGATAAAAGCTTACAATTTAAATGCAGATGTTCCACGATATTAGGTACATCATTCGTTGCGAAATTTTGCTTAGCTCAAGCAAGTAAATGTAGTCAGAACTCACACCTACATGTAAATTATAGAGATGCTGATAATTAGGTACTTTTATAACAAACTTTCTTCTCCATGAAATTAATTGATCTTGAAATGAACTAATCTTCGTAATTATAATGTAAGATACTTCTTTTACACATGTTATTCCTATAATTGTGTCTACCGATACGATAAATTAAATAGTTCTTGTCTAAACATTTGAAAATGCATTATACTTTTTTAGAACGGTCACCTTGTAAAATCAATTGTATCTGCGTGTAACTAAAAGTTACCTGTGTTTTTACACGCCTTGACGGAGTTTACAATTACATTTCCGATTTCCATTCAAGAAATAAATTCTATGTCAAACCTTATTATTAATTATTATACCATTTATTTATTTTGTTCTTGTAAATTTAATTCGTGTAACTTCATTGAATATCACTTTTAATATTTCATTTTTGTCTTTTTTTGTTTAGTCCATGTAATTTAATTTTATTATGGTCTTGATATATGTACCTACTTACCTACTGTTGTTATTGTTTAGTACTAATACATAGTTATCCTCTGTATTGGAATTTCTTAACTGTAATAATTGGCAATCCCGTCATGTTGTGCTTGCACCCTTAGGGTTATAATCTGTTCGATACTATTAATGTTTAAGAAATATTCTCTATGTGTTGTGACCTGTTGTGTTTGCCTTAATAAATAAATAAAATAAATAAAAAATTAAATTAAATGTGCTATCTATAATTGAGCCGTTTGAAAAACATTTGCAAATTCTATTCAGTGTTGATGATTTTTTTGGATGTAACCTTGAAAGTCTGATAGCTGACCGGAATCAATTCGTCATTTTGTCAAGGTCATTAAGGCCGGTCACTTTTTATAGATAATTCCGCCTTGCAATTCCACTAGCTTAACTTTCAATTCTACACAAAAATCAGCATAAAGAATAACAGTTTAAAATATAGCAAACAAAATTTCTTTGTTTTTTTTTTGTAAAGGTTGTTGATGTGTTATTATATGTATATCTTGAAATGAAGAATCTATCAAAACATAATTGAAGATAATCTAGTAGAGTTTATTTACACAAATATATGAATTTCTTAAATAAAAAAGGAAATTTTAATTTATATCTGTATACTTATAGAGTAAATTTTTGTATATCAATATATTCCCATATTATACTTACTTTCTTTATTATGTAAAGTTTAAAACCCGGTTTTATATCCCTTAAAACGACTTATTTTATAGCAAAAATTTTATGCCTACTATCCAAATTTCATAAAAACATATTACACTTCATTATTATTTTAATACATCTTTTTTTATTGAATTTTATAAATATTAAAATGTTTTTATATATCTTTTTGCTACAGAACCGCCCCCAACTTTAATTGAGAAATCGGTGTTTTTGTGGCAATATTAAATTACTTTTTCATAAATAATAGTTTTTTTAAGTTAGACGTTTCTCATCAATAGTCTAACTTATTAGTTATTACTGTAGTGTAAGAAAATAAACTGTTTAACCCTTTGTACCTATTCGTGTGTCGATAAAACGTGTGATAAGCATACTGTTCAAGTTTTTGATACTTAGAATTATTAGTGAGGATATTCTGTTCAGAAATTCAAAATTCTCAAAAGAACAAATAAAAATTTGTTTTGCTTCTATTGAAAATTTGATTGAAAGTAAATACAGTAGGACCTCGATTATCCGGACTAATTGTTGTCGGTAGGCATCCGGATAATTGAAAGTCCGGATAATCCAATATATGAAGAAAAACGGCCTTTTTGCATATGTACATATGTAGTCTGTACCATACATATGTAATGTTAGGTGTTTATTTAAAACAACAAATACATGTGAGAGAAAATCAACGTTTATTAAGAAATTGTACATAATCTATACTTAATATTATAAAGCTGAAGAGTTTGTTTGTTTGAAAGCGCTAATCTCCGAAACTACTGGTTCGAATTGAATAATTGTTTTTGTGTTGAATAGTCCAGTTATCGAGGAAGGCTGTGGGCTATATAACATCACGCTACGACCAAAAGGAGCAAAGATATAGTGGTAAATGTGTAAAAAACGGGAGAAATTTCTTCTTTGAAGCCTTCCGTTAGGTGCGCCGTGAAAACGTTTCAAGATACATAAAAAATATGTATTAAAGAATAATAGCTCTTTTAATGATCTAAAAAACAGTCCGCGACAGTATATGTCTATCTTTTAAGATTAACTCACAAAAATCGTTTTTATAGTACCTAATTTGGTCGAAATATGTTGTTTAAGTTGTATCAACATAATAATATTAATCTTTATTCAAATAAACAAATAAATATATTGTTGGTTAAGAGTACTTCATTGTGAATAAAAAAAACCTAGGTTTTATCCTGAAAATTCTACGGGAACTCGACCATTCCGAAAACCCCGCAAGAACGTGAACTATGTGGGAAGAACCAAAAATCTGCCGGAAGTCACACAAAAGCTATTGTATGTATAAGTGTTATAAGTACGTGGCGGTATACAAGTTCTGAAATGTTAATGTTAGAATAAACTCTTCGCGATTGGCAGTCCGGATAATCGCGAATTCGGATAACCGAGGTCCGGATAATCGGGGTCCTACTGTAAATAATATCAGATGATAAAGTAAAGACTGATAACAATGTGAACACGAGGTTAAGTTACCTTTCCAGACATTAAAAACAAAAGAAATGGATGCATTTTGATTTGAAAAACCTACGATTATTTAAAAAAATCTATATTAATTTTTGCAAAACATTCGCAAAAAATTTGCAAATACAATCACTAATTCAGATAAATATATATTTTTGTTAATTTTTACTTTTTCCTTCTCATATTATGGAAGCAGGTAAATATTTAATTTTCCTCGATATGTACAATGCAAATTAATATGTATTGTAATATGTAATTTGAAACAATAGTTTATGTAAAGAATAAAATAAATAAGTAAAAATATAGACTTCACTTAAAACGTATTTTTGCAAATAATAATATAATTCAGTGTATTTGGATGAACAAAATTACAAAATAAACAGAGTGATCGAATCAATATGACATGAAATAAAATATTGTCTTTGCTATTCAAGTGAACAAGTACTTTTATTTAATTTTATAAGCACAACTTGCACTTTATATTATAGTATAAACATCAAACACGCCACTCATAAACAATTGAGTTTTTTCCAAGGCTGTAGCGCAAACAACGGTAATTTCGTTCCACAGCCAGTTTGGGCTCAGAACACAAGACACGCGTTGCAACCAAGAGTTTTATCATAATATTTTGTTTGTCTATATAAAATATAGAATCAGTGAGGATGGTTGTTCCAAAGTTTATAGAATTAGAAGGCGGTGATCGTATGCCGATTATTGGTTTTGGAACCTGGCAGGTACGTTCTTAAATTTATAATTTTAAAGACTTTCAAGAGTCATTATAAAAACAGACTATTATTAACATAATATGATTGCATTCTACTGTTGAATTATACGAGAATTGCAAACGGTCCGTATTCCTATTATTATGTTGTAATCAGCTAATATTTATCTTGCAATAAATACAAATAACAAAGTTAGAAAACGTTTAATAAATATGTATGCTATAAATAGTAACAACACCATGATGTCAGTAAACAATGAAGATACAATTGGTACAAGGGTAAATATAATATACTATAAATCTTTATATACTTTACATGGAAGACAAAAATATAAAAACATTGACAAGGATTCTCCAGTGCAACGGTCAACGAACTCGTGAGATAAAAAAGCAATTCTCGTTTTGAAAGTCGAGTGGGAATTAAATAACATTTAAAACTGTGTATGACAATTCGGTCATTTAAATGTTCCAACAATCATATCATACTTCAATTGAATGTGAACTTTTTAACTCGATTTCGCTACATTTTTTATTTTCACAATCTTCAACTTTCTTCGATATTTTCTTATTCTCCGTTTTGTGTCTGTCAATTTTCATACGGCGTTTCAGATAGCTTTTGAATCTCTTCCATTTCGATTTCCGCAATCTCGTTTCCGAATCAATAATAACGAAAGGCTTGTCACAGTATTCAGTGAGATAGTAATCGGAACAACACGAGCATTTTTCACTGCAAAACGAATACTTATCACTTTCATCATGATCCCCAGATGATGGGGACAAGCCTCTAGAACAAGTTGCAAGACAGGAACTCGATTGGGACCACTTTTTGTTCACATTTTCAACCCCCTTGACGTCATTCGCAGTTGTCATAATTTAAACAGATTTATAGAAAACATTTCTCTGGATCTCTAAAATTGTTCAATTTATTGTTATATATTTGTTTTTACGTCAATTGACATTGATTTTTGATATTCTATAGACACTGTCATCTCATTACAGTTCAGTTAAGTCATTTTAGGGTAACCGATTATTATCGATGTATAAACAATAAAAACACGTAATAAATCAGTTTACATAGTGAACGAATTCTATGATTACATGTAAATCATACCAGTACACTTTTTATTTCAAAATCTTATGTCAAAAAATCAATAATAAAAGCCATTCACACTAACAAACACTTCTGTTCTGTCTTTTATGAATTCCAATACTTTTTATCCTACGAGATTTAATCGGAGCAATATTTGCGCGATTTTGAGTTATTCCCTAATATTTTATATACTAATTAAATATATATTTTATCCACAATTAACAGGCTCCAGCAGATATTCTCGTAAAATCAGTGGAGACAGCATTAGAAGCCGGTTACAGACATTTTGATTCGGCTCGTGCTTATGAAAACGAGGCTGCTTTGGGTAAAGCCCTTAATAAATGGATAGGAGGGGACGTAAACAAAAGGAAGGAATTATTTGTAGTCACGAAACTACCGCCTGGTGGTAAAAATTTATTGTAATTTTATGACCCATTAAAAAAGATAATATATTATGAATATTACATTAATATTATTACTTATTTTTTGCTCAGGTAACCGTCCAGATCTCGTCGAGCAGTACTTCGAAAACTCTCGTCAAGACTTAGGATTGGATTACATAGACCTTTATTTATTACACACGCCATTTGGATTTCAACATGTTCCTGGTGATTTGCATCCCAAAAATCCTGACGGCAGTATGATGGTCGACCATACAACCGATTTAATAGCAGTCTGGAAGGTTAGTGGCACTAATAAATTAATAGAATAGTTAAAATAGGCCAAATATTAGGTTTAGTGTTATATTGCTTGCCTATAGCAACTTTTTTGAAGAAAAAATGTTATCAAAATAGTTTACTCTGCAAATTTATTTTATACTCTATTTATAATATTTAAATTAAAAAAGTTCGGTATAAAATTATTGTCAACAATGTTATAGACGTAAGACTGATTTAAACAAAATTTTAGTACTATGTAATAAACTTTGAATTATATCGTGGTTTAAGAAACAGTGCCTTCTAAATATAATTGTTGTTATTTATTCGAAATAACATCTTAAAAGTGAATTAATATGGGTGTATCATTTCTACAAACCATTGAAAATATTGAATTGGCGTGTAAATCAGAAAAAATATCTCAAGATCACTATACAGGTTACCGCAACGACGCTGTTTATAAAGAATGTAGCTTTCCAATACAGAAATCAAAGAAAAGTAATAAAAAATTGAACAAAAGGGATGCTACTAATGAGAAAACTCAAAACAATAAGCCAACAACAAACTTTGACAAGTTTTCATGGACGAAAATATACAGATCGCCTATACCTATACGAAGTCAAAGGAATAGTGTAGAAGAATTAAATGAACAAAAATCCGCGATTAAACAAAATCAGGAAGTGGAAATATTTGATACTAATATAAAATTAAATCAGACGACTACCCAGACGTATCTCAGTGCACCACTACAAGAGAAATGTTCGATTCGTTTAAAACAATCCATGTGCTCAAAACTTGGACCCAAACTTCTATGTCCATGTTGTTGCGGAGGTGATGATAAAATGGAAAGCTGCGATATGCCATACAATCGACAAACTACCTCAGATTCTTATGAAAGTATTGATCTTACAAACAAGTCAAATACGTTTATTCCTATAAACGTGGACGCTTCACTCATTAGTATTATGTGTTTCCGAAAATTGAGTCGACAGAAGAATATATCTATATACATTAAAATGGCTCTAGCTATGATTCGGAATTCTTACAAAAATATATTTTGCTTCTACAATTTAAAAACGCCTACCGCTAGAATTCCATCAAGTAATCGATTATAAAAGAATCTACAAAGAAATCATAAATTTAACGCTTAACTTTCTTTTTTGCAAAGCAAAATGTTAACTAATTATAATATGAACTTAATTACAGTGTGTCCCAATTATAATCTACAGAAAATAAAAAGCAAATCATCACGCACAAAAGAATAAAGGTGACAACTAACTTCTGTTATTGTGTCAAAAGAAACTGAAATGTCTAAATTATACTTCACGACACTAAAAAATATAAAATTTAAGAGATTTTATAAAACTTAAGTGATACGACAATTACTATACGCCGTGATTAATAAAAATGTAAATGTTGGTAACCAGCACCTTACTGATTTTTGAATAATTTAGTTTCATGGCATGGTCTTAAAGTACGGCGAATATGTTAGGAAATATTCGCCATAACTACAAAAATGACAGGCGGTGTAACCGCAGCTTTCTTCAGAGATTTATTGGTCTGATATGCCTCGAGTATATTTTTCGTTCTGGGTGTTGTTTAAAAGGAAAAAACGACTCAAAAGAAAAAACATGGTGCATGAGGCCAACTGAATACGCTAAACGAAAGCCTGGGGGAAAGATGAGCAGAAATTTTACCACAGAAAGTGTCAATGCGATGGAAGTTAATGTTTATTATTGCAATATTTCTTCTAGCCCTAATTCAGCTTATTCCACACTTAAACCAACATCTACTCCATCTTTACCAATTGACCCTAAACAAAAATGTGGTAACACGGGAAAAGCTCACCGAATTGTATCCAGTAATAAATCTGATATCGTCGTAAGTGAAAACCCGCTGATAACATCAAATGAAACTATTGAAAAGCTTTTAGAAGAAACTATAAATAAACACAAACAAACACATTGTGAAACTAAACCACCAGCTTCTTTAAAAAAGGTACATATCCAAAACAAAGAAAAGGTTAAATGTAATGCGTTCAGTTTATTTCTTCGTTGCCTAGGATTAAACACAAAGAAAGGAGCGACATCGAGAGACATAAAATCAACAGTAAGTCCTCAAAAGCAAACAGTTGCTTTCATTGCCTCCAGCAGCAAGGACTTTGAAAGTCAGTGTAGTCTGAAGTCGACTCAGAGCCTTGAAATATTTTCCCACGCATTAACCCGCTCTACATCTCAATTGTCGTCTTTGGGGAGTATCTTTAGTTTGAAATGGAAAAGGCGATTTCGCACACAACCGAAAAAACCGAGTGCTTTACAACTTATGTGTCGAGATATCTCAAAGAAAATCAGATCAAAAAAAGACAGCCGGCCGAGAGATATAACTAATGTAGTTGTTCTTGGAATGCCAAAACAATACAAAGAAACAACGTCTCTGCCCTCAGATAAAACACATAAACCTTTGTTAATCAGAAACTCCACCGAGAGCACTATCTTTCAAATTGATTTAATAACAAAACCGCGAAATAAGATATGTGGTCCTGGTGAAGTTTTAGTGAAAAAAAACTAATAAAGTTATTTGTGTAACCAGATTTCCATGCTTTATTTCTTCTTTTCTTTTCCTAAATATAATTCCTGTAACCTGATATTTACTATAATCTCTTTAAATTTATATAGAAGTAAACACGTAAAAAATCATTTGTAGGCAGTATTAAAACTAAAAGAATCTGGAAGAGTGCGCCATGTTGGCGTATCCAACGTAAATGAGGAACAACTAATAAGATTGGCAGCTGTAGAAAAGCCGGCATGTTTACAAGTCGAGGTTCACGTTTTATGCCAACAAAAGTCGTTGATAGCAGCCGCAAACCGACTTGGAATACCCGTAGTGGCATATTCTCCTTTAGGATCGAGGGCTCTAACTAATATGCTAGCTGCGAAAACAGGGTATGCTTATATAATTTTAATGACTTTAGGCATTTTCCATTTTACGCATAAAACTATTGTTTCCTTCCCTAAAATAATGCGTTTAAATAAACTTGACAACTTAGTAACACAAAATTTTGTGACTGTGTAACTAATCATTGCTATCAGCTGAAATATATATATGTTACGTACTTATTAACGTAATTTTTTATAAATATAAATTATTTTCTTTTCAGCCGTGATTACCCGCATCTATTAGAATTACCCCTGGTATTAGAGCTTGCAAAGAAATATTCACGGACTCCAGCACAAATATTACTAAGATTCTTACTTCAACATGGTGTTGGCGCCATACCAAAAAGTACAGATCCAACAAGAATCAAACAGGTATGCAAAAGTTTTATGAGCATTTTACGACAATACGAAACGTTAAACTAACATAACTTGAAAATAATAGTACTTTAATAATAAATTTGTATTTTTTAGAACATATCTCTTTGGGATTTCGAATTGAATGACAAGGAAATGCAGGATTTGCATAACTTAGATCGTGGAGAAGAAGGACGTATATGTGACTTTGGATTCTTCATCGGCGTCCAAACACACCCTGAATTTCCTTTTAAAAAGAATTAAATCTCTTCTTTTATCTATGTACATATGTTTATTTTTAGTGAGATTGACAATCAGAAATTTTTATGCTGTATTAGTGGTTTTCAGTGCATACTATTAATAAAGTTGGATGCAATTATACGAAATACTGTCATCTTTCTATTTTATTTTATATACATATTATTTTATATATTTCCTCTCATTACTCATGTCTCACCTAGGAGCCTTAAAATAAAATAAATGAAAAGACATTCAATTAATATCATCCAAGGTCAAGTAATAAGATATTAAGCAAAACTAGAGGCATTGGTATATACACATATACAGGGTGACTGGTGAATTACTATCAATATTTAAGGAGAATACTCGGTACATGATTCTCATTCGAATTATGTAAAAAAAATAGGCACTTAATTTTTGACAAAATTTCCGCATAAATAAATAAAGTGTTGACACGTTCCAAGTGTTCCAAGTGTGGACACGTGCGGCGGCGTGCTGATGCAACACCACGCCGCCGCACGCGTATTTGTGAGTGTGTGTGTATACCTAATCTGTAGGGTGTTCACACGATGCGTAATTAATTACATAACTTTTGGTTAACTTTACTTAGAAGTTTATTAATGTTTATGTTATATTAATTTTTATTTTGTCATATATGGTCGTCAAATATCACGTCCTCAAGTATCGATAGTAATTCACCAGTCACCCTGTATATTCAGAGTTTAACTGAAAACTTGAAACGCACCGTGCGCAGTGTGATTATGTAAACGTGGTAAGGGTACTGTTCTAATTAATTACAATAGTCAAAGTAATAATAATGTAGTCAGTCAGACAATAACAAAGTCATTGTTAACTTTTTGTATACGTCACTATTTCTGTAGTATCGAATTTTAAAGCAATTTGTGTGTAAGCTTACGATTCCTTGGGAAACCAACATTCCCAAAGATCGACAAGTATTATGAGCTCACTTCTTCGTGAGCCTATTAGCCTAACCTATTCTTATAGGTTTGTAGTAAATTTGTACCCGGTAGAGGTGGGAGACAGAGGTAACAGCTTAATCTCTCTATAAAATACTAAAAGACTTGGTCCTGTCCAGAATTAAAATCAATTAATTCTTAGAACGAACATTGAAGTCAACCCCAGTAAGTTCATTTCAAATTTGGTTAGGTAGAGAGAAGAACTTGGACGGTGGAGGCGATCTATTATAGGCCTTTAGATAGGACCCCTTAAACCTACACCAGGATCGCAAGTCCCAGGTACTGTTAAAGCTCCTTCCCCTGCAACGCGATAGACCCGGCATCCTTATGGTGAACCCATGGAATGCTGAGAGGTTTTGTCTCGTCCCTCTTATTATTACCGGTAATTTATAATAATTAATTATAATTTTAAACTATGGTAATTGTTAAGTCAGCCATCAGAAACATTCAGCACGTACCTACAATGATATATAGTACCTAGTTATTCTTAATTGAAAAAAAATGAATTTTAATCCCTATGTTCAAATAATAATCGATATACTATACAAATCTCTATAATCTTTTTTATAAATTTATAGTATTTCAAGATAAAGATTTAATTGTACAAAGTAATAAGTAAACATTGACAGACGTCACAAATATTGTGGTTTTATAATTTACAATTACGTATTATGTTTTAAAAAATAATATTTCATTATCATACGTTCGAAACATTTGCGACTCTTACCAGGAAATAAATCGACAATCACTATCTGTACATCAAATCATTTGCAATTCAAGAAAGTGATCCCTCACCCGTGATTTTCCATATTGATAAAACTAGACATATTACCCTGCTTCGCTTGTTTTATTTGTTTTAATTTATTGTGATTTATGATTGGATAAATTTTTGCTTAATTAAATATATATGTAGAAGCCTAAATGTAGGCGCTAACAGATAAATACAAAATACCTTTAATAATTAGTTTTCATGAATGATAAAAAGTGGATGAGACATAAGCAGACATATCAATTTCTCTGTTTTGGTGAAATTTATTTGTCTATGTTGTGAGTTACGAAATTTTTTATTAACACAAAGGTGCCTGAATTATAAAAGTTTTGCATTCCAATTAATTATATACTAGAGCTAAACGTATCTTTTTTACTTTTCTTTACATTTAATAATCATTATAACAGAAATATAACAATCTATATTGTATTCGCTTAATGATAGTATTCCTTTTAAATATAAATTTGAATTACAAATTAAGTAAATTATATAATTAAACTTAATTCAGGGACTATTGACGTAATGTTTATACGTATTAGGTACTTAGGTTATGAAAACTTAATTAATATAACAAAATAGCATTTGTAATATATTACAAATAAAACTTATGTCCCTAATTAATGAGTATGTAGAAATGAGCAGTGGTTAATTCATAAACAGTTTATTGAAACGTACTTAGTATCAGGATGGCTACGTAGAAGTGAACGCGTCTTCTTTAATTTTGTAACTCATAAGTAGGGTACTATAATTGAGTTTGTATTGTCACCCCGGTATAAGTGCTTTTTTAAGGATGGCACTCATACTAAAAGGAGCCGTTAAATTATACTACTACCTAAATGATGATATTGCTGGTATGTATTTATTAAATAATATTGCTTATTCATATACCAATAATTATTAAAACTAGGCTGTAGTGAAACCTATGTATGGTATAATATTACTGATAACAGTACAAATACCTAAATATTGTACAGAAAATTTAATACGTTAAGTTAAAAATCATAAGATGAAGTATCTAAAATAATTTAAAAGACTTCGATAGCATCATAAAGCATGCAAAAACAAACGTATTGACTTGTATAAAATAAAATGATTTTTGTTTTATTATTTTTAAGATCAGAGAGTTCAAGATTGGCCCTTAATGCGAACACCTTGGCCGGGGCTGGCTTTATTAGCAGTTTATTTATTGACTGTATTGAAATGGATACCTAATTATATGGAAAAGAGACCAGCCTACGACCTGCGCAGGTTATTGTTTGTGTACAACTTCATACAGGTGTTGTTATGTATGTACGTTACTTATCAGGTAAGGATCACGATAAATGGAGCTCTATAGTTCAAGCTCTGTTTTATAAAGTTTTATATTATATAAGGTCCATTTGTTATCAACGTGTACCACGATATACTGTAGTCGATTAGAATTTAGACAATTTATATTTATACTTGATAAATCTTCCTTAATGATAGTATAGTAGGTATTGATATGAAAAAAATATCTATGTTTAGCTTGACTATGCATATTAGGTAAATTTTCTCAATAAACGTCTGTTTTCATCAGGATGACATAAAAGTGAAATAGAAAAGTAAAGTGACAATTCGTATTTGTTTAACACATTTTGTGACTTGAAAAGAGATCAAAGTTTACCACAAACGTGATTCGTGAATACCTAATGATAATGTTAAATAAAGCGTTTATAAATTTAATTGTAGTTAAAAAACTAATAACACACGTTTATGTATAAAATACCTATACCCATTGTATTAAAATAATTTTTTTTTTCTTCAAAAGATACGTTATTGTCATTTCAAGTTTATATTTTGTTTATCATCCGTCTGTAGATGGCATAATTCGCGAATATATGTGAACAAATAACATACATATTAATATATAATTATTAGGTCATAAAAATCTATGTAATCACTCTTTTTCATCATTTGGATATTGCTACTTTGAAACGCTTGATTTTATGAAAGAAAATTTAAAATATTTTCATATTTATGGGTATTCGGTCTTACGGTCTTCTTTTATTGGTCAGGATATGTATCTAAATAATTTCTTTATTTACAACAGTATGTAATATAAGTAGTTTTTGGAGTTACGCCATGTCCCAGAACTACTATATCATTTGAAAACATTAAAATATTTTAAAATAGATAGTGGACATTACTTCGAGTTCCTTGAACATTTTGATGGGCAAGATCTCATTAAAACAAAGATATAATTATATCTAGAATTTTTAAATTTCAAAAATAACTTGCTAATGTACATCGTTTGTTATATAATTATACATTTTACTCGACGTTTCTTCACGTTTATTTCATCCTTAACATCTTACCTACCCGTGACCACGGCTATTGTAAAATAACCGAATCGTCAGGTAAAATGTAAATACAATAAATGCGCATAATATATCCGAAAATCATAGTCTCAGTTATAAGAAATGTATGTAAAACTAAAAGTGAACTGACCGGTTGAGATGAATATTATGTTTTAAGAGTGTTGAATGTATACCTAATGAAATTACGTAGATATTAATATTATGAATTGGTGTTATATGTTTAAATTACAGCGACCGCGACATTGCGAAGTGTGCTTTTTAGTTTTAGCAATAATATATGAATAAAATATATTATGTAACAATACATCATTAATAAATTATTATTCACATGAACAAAAGCCGAGACTTTGACCTCTTACTTGCAACTACTTACTTTATATAAACTCCAAGTATATATATATATATATATATATATATATATATATATATATATATATATATATATATATATATAAAAGGAATAGTGAATTGCTTTGATAGGGACATCAATAACTCGTAATTATAGCACACGTTTATGAATCTTAGTTTTTTAGTCAGACAATACGTTATTAGACTAGATTCAAATTTCTAAATGAAGCTTCTAACATTTATTTCAACGAGATCCTAATCTAAATAATAGATACAACTACATACTACTTATTTAATAAGTCATAATTATAAAACGCGTAGGTATGTAGATCTTGTAAGAGTAGGCATTTCTTTAACGTTACTCAATACTTTCCTCTCTCGCTGGTGAAGCCTACATCATTAAAGAAATTAATATACACAGCTCACATCAACATATTTGGCATTATAAACTGTGAAAAATGAAATTTCGCATCGAAATACAGATTTAATCATGGCTGTTTATTAAAAGAAATTCTGTTAATAAATTAATTATATTACTGTATCATAAACTTTACTTTGCTGTTTGGACATTTGGTAAATAAGTTTACTTTTAACTGTTATTGACCCATGTAATCCTACACATATATTTTACATATATATGTAAATAATGCTTATTAATTTTTACTCCCGGAAGAAACTTTAAGCAATCACTCAACCCTTAATGTACTTTATTAAATAATATCCGTCATTATTCACTCAAAATTTTATTTAAAATTTTCAGAGTCTCAGATTAGGCTGGTTTAGCCACTACTCATTATTCTGTCAACCCTTAGAAGAAGATACACCAGAAGGCTATGAATATGCTTGGAAAGTCTGCTACATTTATTTCTGCATTAAGCTCACTGATCTCTTGGATACGGTAAAAGAATATATTTGAATAAAATATTATAATTATAACTTAACAATAAAACGTTTTATATAAATTCCAGTTATTTTTCGTATTGAGAAAAAAGCAAAATCAAGTATCATTTCTACACGTGTACCACCACTGTGGCATGGTTGCAGTGTCGTGGGGTATGGTGAAGTGGTTGCCAGGTAAGATAAAACAAAAAGAATATATTATTTATTATTTTGATAAAACATTATCCAAAATGCGTTCTTTTGTTTGTAAAGGCGGACATACTTCTCTATTGGTGCCAGTTAATTCAACAGTACATATAATAATGTACACATACTACATGCTGACGACTTGGGATGATTCCTACAAGAAGTCGCTGTGGTGGAAGAAACATGTAACTCAAATACAGATTGTAAGTCATTACTTACAATGTTTAATAATTTAATATGCGACTCAAACCATCGTAACTTGACCTTTGAACTTAAATTACTATGATATAAAAAGGTTAAAATTTAAATTCACTGTACAGTCTGCTCTCAATTTACAAATAAATTAATAATTTTTTCACAACACTTTTATGTTGCTATTTAAATATCACAGGCGTTTATAATTTGTTCCTCAATTTTTTTATTTTCCAGTTACAATTCACACTTCTACTGATACACTTCACGGCGCTGGTTTTGATAGAGGATTGTCCTTTCCCGCGAGTGCCTTCATACATTCTTATACCACAGAATCTCTTCATGGTATTACTATTCGGTGACTTCTACTACAGAAGTTACATCAAAACCCCAACAGTCAAAAATAAATGACATACATATTATGTATTCTTAATTAATTATAACTGATATACCTATTTATATGCTCGTAGTTTTATTTAATGTAACATTTCGTAAGGTAAGTAAGGAGAAATACAAAAAAATAAAAACAAAGTAAGTATGTAATAAATATTTTAATACCATTTATTACAATATTTTGTAATGAGAAGTCGGCAATATCACATTTTTTTACTTGCAACATTATTTGCAATTTAATAACTTAAAGCACCAATTATCCAAGATAATAAAATAATTGTATCCAAATACAACTACCATTTAAGTCTTTTCTAATCTTAATATACTGGTCAAACCCTTAACAGAATAATGCTGAAGAAATAATTCTACAGGAATCCATCCCATTAATACTTAACAATTATATTTTTCAAAAATATACACAGAACATGATATGTTGCTGTAATATATATACATATATAAAATATTCTAAGAACTTAAATCTTCAAAATATCTACTAATTTCTATGAGTTATATCCAAGTTTAGCAAAAAGGTTTTGCTTCACCATATCAATGACATTGCTTTGGCTGAATGCGTCGATCACAGCCTTTGTTAAGCAAAGGCTACTAGTGGCGCCCTCTGTTTCATCTTCATCAGGCGTCCTCTCCTTAACGACGAATTCCTTTATATTACTTTTTATCAACTCAATGAGATCACTAGAACTAATCGCCGGAACGACTTCTAGGTTACTTAGTTTATTTAATAAAGAATTAAGATCAAATTCCTCGACGTCAGTCTCTTGGGTGTTATCTTCGCATGTTTTTTGTCTTTTCATTCGACGTGATTTCCTTTTTTTATCCAAATAGGATTTAACAACAGTGTCCAATTGTAAAAATAATACCGCCAGAGGTGTGTCCGATATATCATCCTAAAATTTATAATTTTATTAAGATTATGCAATGCATTTGATTTCATAAAGAAAAAATATTTTGAATATTTAAAGGCTTAATATTGTAATAAACTACTTAGCATATTTAATTATTATATCAATCAAACAAAAAATATCTTTGATACCTGCATAATAAAGATAAATTACAAGCAATTTATTTTTCATAAAAAAAATTGGCAATTATCTTACACATAGAATATATACATGCCAATCTATAAATACCAAAAACCATATATGTATTATTATATATTATTATGTACAGCAATTATTAAGAACAAGTGAGATCAGTATTTGGCATAGGTCATCAATGAATCAGAAACTAAGAATGCATCCTGTTAGTAGATATATTAGTAATAAACATGACTATACCAGACCATTATATGAGTAATGATGCTATATTTTATATGGTACTTATGTCATCATAATTTAAAACGGGAAAATTAATTCCAAGGAGGTTTCATGCTATAAAAAAATTACAATAAACCAGTCTTTTATAGTTTTTGTTTAGATTTTATGTTAAAATATAGACTTATTGTCTAAACTCTAAACTAATATATTTATGTATATTGCTAACCTCAGTTGGATTCACTAACAGTTTTGATGTTTCCGGTGGTAAGTCCTTACAAATTTGTGCTATCAATAATTTTATAAGAGCTTCAGAGATTTGTGTCGAATTGTCCTTTTCCTGAAAAAACATGGTACACAAAAAATTATATGTTTGCAAAAAAAAATGTTAAAGGTTTTTATGATTAAAAAATCTGTATTTAATTTTAATAAAATTGTTTTATATATATAATTGTTATATATAAACTTACATGGGGTAACCAGATATTAAGGCTAATATTTAAAGGGTCAAGGTTTTGTACATAATGCCACCAGCCCCTCGGTACAAGGAGGGCATCCCCTTGAGACAGTTCCACCACTCTAGCACCAGTTAGACCTGAAAATAATTAATTATATATACCAAACATTATGAATCTTAGTATATATTATAATATTGTATATAAAATTTTAATGATATTTTTCAGAAATATGTAAATTCTTTTAAAGTAATTGAAACAGAACCTTAAACAATACATGCAGAATTATGATATGATACACCATGTCTAAAACATATTTTTTTCGAGTTAGAAGCAAATTATCAGAACATTTGTTGTTATTTGTAGATAATATTTTGAAATTGTGGAAACATCTATATAAAATTTATATTGATTTGAAATACTGTTTTATTACCCTAACTTTTTTGGGGTTTAGTTAAAACTCTAATTTCAAAATTATAATTTCTTTGGAGTGTTTCAGAATCTTATTCAAATTTTGCTTTTATTTTAAAATGATTGTGTATATGTTAGGGGTGTGAATAACATATATGTCAGGGATGTAAAAAAAATTGATGATTAAATACCAGTAAAGCGATCTAAATCAACAGGACAGTAGAAATTCAGTTCACTATAAACACTGGACTCCTCATAAGGTACTCTGGTAGGCTTCAAACCACCAGTTTCAGGTGGAAAAAGTATCCACCTCTTGCTGAAACAAACAATTTTTTCATTAAAATATATATATGTACAGCAACACTTATATAACACTCTCCATTTATAGGATAATAAAAACTTCATAATGACATCATAACTTGCATAACAATTCATAAACATAGATTTAAAATAATCATATTTTATAATTCTGAATTATTATTTTTAAAAAAAATTATATACATACCGGCCATACACTTGAGCTACAATGTTATACCCATAAGTGTCTTGATGAGCTGGTGTGTGACAACCCTTACTACCAATCCATAGTGTTGTATCAGGGGCTCCTTTATCGGGGTATCCAAACTGCTTCCATGAAATTTCCTTTTGAAATTAAATAACATATAAAATAACAGCAATAATAAATAAAACACATAGCAAATAAGATAGCACAATTTCAAAAGGTTTGTTTTTAATTACCTAGTAGTAGAACTGGCGATAACTGTAAAGATCTTACCTTCCACAGTTCACTATCACTTTTAATCCATTTATGAATATATTTGTAGTCAAAATACATCCATTCTCTACTAGTATTGATAGTCTCCAAAAAACTTTCGAAAGTCATCATCTTTTCCCGACATCGCCTTTCCCAGCAGGGTTCATCCGAAACAAAATCTTTTCTCAGACATCGAAAAGGTAGTTTCGTGTTACCAAATATCGAACTCCATTTCTGTGGATCCCATTGACACAAAGGCCAATCAATTATATATTTCCTAAATACTATGGGAACTGAAGATTTGGCGGTAATTTTTTTAATAAGATCTTCATTTACATCCATGTTGTTGTCTTTTTGATTTACTGTATTAAAAAAATATTATTACATCACAGCTCAATATTGTTTTACATAATACTTAGTCACTGACAAAATTCTAAAAGTCAAAGCCAAGTTTTTTTCATCGTATTAATTAAATGTTTATACAATAAACATGATCACACTAACACTCTTCCCGCTTCCGAAACTCTTAATGTCAGAAAGATTACAAGACAAGACAGTATAACTATACTATATAAGAAAAGAGACTTCAAACTTCATTTTGTAGGACAATAGTAACGAGGAACTCGTGAGAACTGAGAAGGCAAATTATGAATCGTAAATTCATATCTTATTTTAACTATATATGATATGTATATAACATTTGGAAATGTAAAACCATTTTTCTTTGATTTATAAATTTAAAATGAAATAGTCTAATTTTTAGTGGTCAATGATATATAAAAAATAGTCACAAATGAAAGGATATAAAAATATATAGATTTAAGTTACCTTAATAATAATAAAAATATAATGTACACTTAAAAAGTATATATAATTATTTTTTAAGCATTGTTCATAAATATGTAATTTCTACAGTAGCTCAATTGGGCATACAGTGCCATTTAATGTGTATAGTACAAATGTACTACACAAATAAAATTGCGCTATTTGGTCAGTTAAACATATAAAAAAATTCAAAAATTATATTTTTTATTGTTGCTAATTTCTGTACAGGCGATAGTATCGGTAAAATTCTTATCACTCAAGGAACTGAGTAATATAGGACATCCCTAGCTGTTTATGTTATTCAGATCCTTCATAAATCATATTAGTATTTATTATTTAGTAAGCACTAGGCAGTCCGCAGTAATGTACTACTTGAATAGTTGAGAGTTTGTATACAACAGATAAGTGATTTTAATTTATATTGAATTTGTATGTTTCCTTACTATTGTTTTTTAAAAATTCGCAGTCTTAAAAGTATCTCAAATATTTAAACAAAAGTGAAAGATACATTTTAATTTGTTCTGAGTAAATATGAAACAGTTGCTACTTTTTCTTACGGAAGATATATAAAAAGAGTAGGAAATGGATACAGAAGTAGTGTCTTCGTTTTTTTCTTCTGAAAATAAATGTATACCTGAAAAAGATTCAGATATATCGACTGAATTTCTTGAAATTATTGATGACCTTAATGAATCTCTTTCTGAATTTAAATTACCAGCCGCTGTAAAATGCGTGTATAATCCCACGATATATGCAAGAAATACATTTGAAATGTACGTCCGTAAATACTGTAATAGCACAAAAAAAATTATGTATTTTGGAATGAACCCTGGACCATGGGGGATGTCTCAGACTGGGGTAATTTTGCAAGAATGTCTTGAATTTTTTACACATAAACAACTAATTAATTCATCAGTATGTAGGTACCGTTTGGAGAAATATGTGCAGTGCGAGACTGGTTAGGCATTGAAGGACCGGTGAATAAGCCAGAGTATGAGCTTCGTGAAAGACCTGTAAAAGGGTTTGATTGCACTAGAACTGAGGTTTTTATTCAAATTTTTTTAATAACACTGTCATAACTTTATGATAAAAAAATAATTTTAATTTATTTCAGATAAGCGGAAAAAGATTTTGGGGTTTATTAAAAAAAATATGTGGTGTTCCTGAAAAATTCTTTAAAAGTAGTTTTGTATACAATTACCTTAATCAACAATGGATGAAAAATAATGGTTGCAATCTCACTCCTGGGGATTTTAAAGTAAAAGTTATATTTTACAATATACATTATACATTTGATGTACAACATTTTATTAATTTCTTTGTAGGTTTCAGAAATGGAGCCGTTATATAAAATCTGTGATCCAACATTTGTTCAGGTTTTAAAATTATATGAAGTAGAAATTGTTGTGGCAATCGGTAAATTTTGTGAAACAAGAGCTCAGAAAGCTATAAAGAGATACTTGCCAACAAGTTCCATAAAGGTTGTATATATTTTGGCTATCATTTAATTATTATCATTCATCATTATTTATGTATTTTAATTTTCAGGTACTTTACTTATCTCATCCCAGCCCAAGAACTGTAAATAATAATAACTGGGAAGAAAAAGCTATAGAACAATTAAAAAAGTTGGGACTTTTAGAATATTACACTTAAACATTCAATTAAGATAACATAGTTTTTATTAAGTATTATTAGTCTTGTAATATCTATCATAGTAACATAGAACTTTTTATAACAGTATTATTTTTTGAATAGTTATTTGATATACTACATATATTATATTATAAAGGTCAACTATATTTGTAAAATTTAGATAACTATTGAATTTTTAGACCTCACAAAAAAAGATACTTTGAAATGGTAAACAAATCTTAATGTCTAACCTTTTTGAGGTCTGAGATGTTCAATTAGTATTTCCTGGACTGTGATTATGGATAGTAAAAGCGGAGTAGACATTTTAATATAATGTACAAAAATGACATTTTATTGGTTTTTGCTTTTCAACAAAATGTTTATATAAGGCCTATTGAGAACAGCCTCATCTCCTGTACAGTTTATTCTATCATTATTATCTTCTAGAAAATGCAAAATGGATTAATACCTATTATCTGTTTTGTGTTTTATATTTATTATTAGCTAAACTTTTGTAATGAGGAAAACTAATTATAAGATCTCCTAAATAAATATAAGTAGTTATAAATAAGTACATAGGAATATAATATACAGGGTGACTGGTGAATTACTATCGATACTTGAGGACGTGATATTTGACGATCATATATGACAAAATAAAAATTAATATAACATAAATATTAATAAACTTCTAAGTAAAGTTAACCAAAAGTTATGTAATTAATTACGCATCGTGTGAACACCCTACAGATTAGGTATACACACACACTCACACATACGCGTGCGGCGGCGTGGTGTTGTATCAGCACGCAACCGCACGCGTCCACACTTGGAACACTTGGAACGTGTCAACACTTTATTTATATACGGAAATTTTGTCAAAAATTAAGTGCCTATTTTTTTACATAATTCGAATGAGAATCATGTACCGAGTATTCTCCTTAAATATTGATAGTAATTCACCAGTCACCCTGTATATCACTGATTGTATGTTGTGGATATAGTATTTAGGAAGATGCATATAAAACTAAATTAATACAAAACAGAGTGGATGAAGGTGCATTTATCAAAAAGCATCTACTTAGAAAAGGAGAATTCTGAAAGTTTATATTAAATTTTCTAATTTATTAAGTGTGAGAATATTTTTATTAACTTATGTATAATCACAAATTACTATGTTTTTAAGTACAAAGTGAATCTAATTTGTCAAATGCAAACAGGCGATAAGTTATGGCCGATGATAAGTAGATTATTATAACCACTTAAATATGAAGGGACAGAGTTGTAATAATTATACCTAAGCACTTATGAAATAAACGTATGTACTTCACGTATAGACATTAACCCACATACACTGTCTCACAATTATAATACTTAGCTATTTACTAAGAGAAACATTTTTCGTAAAACAAAAACTGAAATTATAAGCAGATGAAATACAGAATTTCCTAACTTGTGTTTAAATTCAGTCTACCGTTAATAATGTGAAAATTTTGTGCAGCAATGGTTTATTTTATTATTATAAATAGAGCCGAAAGTTTCAATAAAAACTAAATGTACCTAAGCATTAATTGTAACCATTTAATAGATGGAAGATATCTGAAGCACCTTCACTGAAAATGTCTTAGCCTTATAGCCTTTCAAATGCACTTTGCGGATAGAACTGATTCAGAACATTTTTTTGTTGTTAATAATAAAAATGCTGATAAAAATGTAACATCATTAAGAATGTCCACAAAACACAGGAGATTATATATTTTGTAATACTCGTTTTATAGTTAAAAGCTAGCGCTTTCGTCGATCACTTCATACGAAAATGATTCCAATAGATATTATACATAACCGTTTTTTTTTTCATTGTTTTTATAACAAATAAAAATGTTAAATGTTAAATATTCAACATTTATAATATGTAAGTTTAAATATTTAAAATATGAACATTTTTATTATAATTAATATATTTTTTGGCACGCGAAACTTGATTTTCGATTTGCTGAAAGTGTTTGGCTTGCGAATTACGAATAATCGTTTACAATTTAATCTAAATACTACACACAACTAACACAATATTTCTTAGTAAACAATAGGTATTTATTGTTTAAGTTTAATTGCATATTTGAAGTGATTTAAAAAAAAATCAAAATGTATATGATACGATGTCTCTAGTGCCAGATAAACCTCATAACAAGGGTAATTTCTATACGGACCAGCAAAAACAGAGCTCCATATATTCAAACAAGCTCATTAATGTTAAAATATATTTCCCATTCAGGAATAACTACCATATAAACTCACAATGACATAAAATATTGAATATACCTACTAGATTGCTTCAAATTATTTATATAAACCAACGACTGATCGTAGTTTGTGTAATCCGGCATTCGGAATATACCCGTTTCTTCTTAGTAAAGAAGAAAGATTTTGTTTGTTTTAAATAAGGTTGAAGCTGTTCCTATTGCATCATTAAAGTCAGGATCACAAGAAATAGAGCCAGTTCATATATATTTTTGATATAACGACACACATACAGAACGTAGATAGACGTAAAATCAGTAAGTCTAAAACTTTAATTTAACATAAAGCTATAAGTTATGCCGTTGTCAATTTTTAAAGTGTGTAGAGAAGACTTGTATGTAAAGTAAATACTGGCATAGAAAACAGTATTCTTAGAAAGATGTTCAGTTCTCTAGATATGTATCAAAAAGATTAACAGTAGAACTGAATGTTTTAAATCCTAAAATGTTTCCAAGTCTAACCAAATAAATAAAAACTAAAAATGCGAGTGACATTTACATAGAGGATGTCAACTACTCTTAAAACAACTATCTTTTCTGTTTTAAAATATGTAATTCGTTTTGTCTCTTTTTAGCTTTGTATAGTTTCTTTTGGCCTTAATTTATTTTAATTTTTTTAATTTATTGCAACGATATTACATTATAATCTCATTGATGGTTGTCTAGTAGATTACCTAAGCATTTTAAGTTTTTAATTGGAATAAGTTTAATATATGGGTACATATGTAGAAAATCAAATATGGAGGGACTGGAATCACGTTACCTTCTCTCACCACGATTTTGTAAGGACTAAGGAAAAAGGGGCTGTTAAAAGTTAATATTTTAGTAGCGTTAACGTCGAGAAGACTGATTCTGAGTCTCAGATTCTTTGGTAATAATATTTTTTACTGCCACGAAAACTCTTTTGAATAAACCTATAATAATAGTGTAAAATTTTGGCTTACAAATGTAAAAAATACGTTTTTTGGTACATAGGAACTGTGGGATAGGCTGAATTTATAGGACGACTATAGTATAGGAATTTCAATATCACTAGGTTTTACTTCACCTTTACAATAACTATGTATATATGTGTATATAATATATAAAAAATAGTTAACCATTCACGCTACATGCAAGACTTTTTGATACATATACGAACAATCAATATTCTGTATTAATATTTACTGCTCCTTTTTACAATAATTATGTCTTCCAGTAGAAAAACAAAACAAAACAACGACTAAAAAAAAATTCCCTTGACTAATAAACTAAAACAGCATTGAATAGAATGTGAGTGTTGGTAAGTTAACATTATTCTTTTATATTGAAAATATTTATATAGCAAGCAGAAAATGCTTCCTGCTTAAACTCGACAAAAGGAGAATTCCAGCATCCAATATTTTTGATACCTATTTGTTAATATGACATAAATTTTTATTTTATAACAGATTAATAAAAAGTTAATATTGTAAAAAAACACTTGTATTTCCTTCTATTTCTTCTTCTATTTTTATTCCTCCTATTTATTAGATGTTGCTTTACAACGTTCATGTAAACAAAGTAAACGGTAAAATTGTGACGATAAAGAATCAAATTATCCGATAGTGAATAATTAAAAGGCTCAATCATTCAATCAAGTGTGCTGAATGTCAAAATATTTTTTTAAATATATCAGTGATCTAAATATATAATGCACGATGTTTAACAAATATTTATCATCTGAATGGTTATATTTAATAACTATTTCGTCATCTGGCGTACCTGTACCAGATTGTAATAAAAAAAATCTCGAAATAGTTTTGTGGTTTACTGATCACTTTTTATTAATATTATTATTTTCCGATTATTAAGTTAAGATAAACACAATAAATTAATTAATTTTCTCGCAACTTTTCAGTTGAATGTCTTAAAACGATACAAAGATTTTACTTGAATTAAAATACAAAATTTTCTTTACGTTTGACATGATAAAATTATCGTCTCGAACGCAGTTTTATCTGCCGGCTACTTAATGTCATTTGTCAGTGTGGACTAGTACATCCGTGTTACAAATTTGTAACCTAATACCATAATCTATTAACTATTTAAGAACTAAGAGTAACGTCACTAGATTGAAAAATTTAGTGTGTATAATTAGACGTAATGAGTAAAGATTTGAACTATTCGCCTTTTTAGGTAAGTAGTGGTAATAAAATAAAACGTACACAAGCTTAATAAATGTACGTATTATCACTAAATTACAACAGAACAAATGGATGATTTCATGAGAAGGGCCTTAGTTCTCGCCTCCGAAGCTTTAGCTGCACAGGAGGTACCAGTCGGATGTGTATTCACCTTTAATGGAAATATTGTAGCCGAATCCAGAAATAGTGTAAATATTACACATAATCCAACTAGACACGCAGAAATAAATTGTATCGATATAATATTAAGGTATTGTAAGAATAATCAGATTAACTATCATACTTATTTTGAAAATATTGTTGTTTATGTTACAGTTGAACCATGTATAATGTGTGCGGCTGCATTAAATAATTTAAATATTAAAGAAGTCATATATGGCTGTGCTAATGATAGATTTGGAGGAAAAACAGTGTTAGATGTTAATACATTTTATGACAAAGGATATAAATTAACAGGAAATGTTTTAGCTGATGAAGCTATGAGTTTATTAAAACAATTTTACAAAGGTGCTAATCCAAATGCACCAGAATCAAAAGTTAAGAAAAATAAATAATTATGTTAATGGATATTAAGATAATAAATAAAAGATATTTAAATGATAAAGAATTGTATAATTTTATCTTTAGGATTATGCAATGATAGCTATTTGTCATTAATCATGTCACAGGGTAAATTGGTGACTAAGAAAAAAGTATGTTTCCTATTCCTATTGTAATATTATGAAATGATAAGAGCGCAATATAATTATGTACAAAAACTAAATAGGCCATTGACCTCATGGCTATCGACCCTTTAATGTTAATGTAAACATTAATTGCATTCTATTATTACTTTTTAATCACATTTCTACAGATATATCTTAACTATATTGCTATTTTACATCATAAGTTTAAATCATGAAACATGTTGTAATATAAAACATATAATGAATTTAAATATAAAATTAAGCAAGTTAGTTGTGCAAAATATTTGTGTAAACAGAAACTTAGATATGTTAGATCATAAACATTGTTATATTTCATGAACAGATATTAAAAATAAATTCCTTATCAGCATAATCCTATCTACCTTATATTCTACTTGACACAATTTGGTTCATCTATTTAAATAATAATCACTACAAATAACAGTTTCAAATATACTTTTTAACTAAAAATTTATAATATATTAGTCTTAATTCTACTATCAATATTCCTATGTATCTAATACACTGTAAAACATAAAAGTGAGATCCATTCTATGGATATGTGTAAAATTATTTCCAATCTAGTTGTTTATGTTCCCCAAAATCTATGTAAAAATAATTTAATATTGTTTTGATAATAAAGAACACATTTTTTACAACATATATAATTGAACAATATCACATGTCCTTGCATACAATAACAATTTCTTGCATTCCCAAACTATCACAAGGCGACCCTTTTTATAACATCACTTTATTACAATAATATCCGTTGGACATCACAGAACACCACTAAGCCTATGAGATCTCACAATTACATTCTTACAGTCTTAAAATTAATATATGGTAAAAGAAATATAGACTTATAACAAGGCGAGTACCCTACCAAGTCACTGTTTAAAAACTTATAAGAAATGTTTGAAGTATACCACTTAGAAGTAAGATTTATTCATGTGGACTGTGGAATCCATTGACCATAGGTGTAGATTGAGGGCTGGTAACGGAATTATGGTTGCCGTTGACGAGAATTTGATTCTCTATATTCCCATTTTGTATAACTTCTGGCTGATGTTCCGGTGTTGAACTGCAACTTGAACTGCTGCATGTGTCGGATGTAGATGAACTATCGCTCTCCGAATCTTCACTGGAGCCTTGATTCCTTTGTCTTAAATTTTTATTTTCAAGCAACAATTTCTCATTGGCCATCTGAAGTTCATGAATCTGTGCTGATTGTTCCTTCAACTGCTGCAATATATCTATCATAGAAGGTTCGTCTATGGATCCTGAAGCGGCAGAGGCTCCGGAAGTGTCTCTGTCAGTCAACATGCTGTCCTTGTCTGTGGTAACTTCTTTGTCAGTAACTGTGGTGTCCTGTTCATCCTCACTATCTTTCAATTTAAAACGTTCATTTCTTTTTACAAGATTATCGTATTTAGCTTCTAACAATAGATATTCTTGTATGAGTTCATTTTTGGACATATTAGACAATCTTTCACATTGGGCATCCTCATAAACACTTGAAAATTCTTTTGTCAGGTATTCTTCTTCGTCTTCTGGTAGAGAATGGAAGTAATTATCTTCTGAATCGATGCTGAAACTTGAATCCCGAGTTCGAGCAGAAGGCGTCCTGTATAGTAGAAAATTATTTTCTGGCTCAGGTTTATGAATTTCCATCAGGAATTGATTGTTATTAAAAGGAGCTTGAGTTTTAGTTAGTACGATTTTTCTGAATCTATTATTTCTTTTAGTATTATCAACTTTTCTTCTTTCTTGCCAAGACATTTTGGAGAAAGGTTTAGATATTTTACGTTTAGTCTTCCCGCGTCGTCTCTTTTTCTTAAGATTTCCTTCAAAATTGTGTTTCGGAACTTCCAAGATAGATGGAGCCTCTACTAAAACAAGAGCTCGAGTAGAATCGCCATCTTTGTCAGATATGTTGTTTATTATATCCATTTTTAAGTTATATGATAGACCACACTAATATTATTACAGATTCACACAAACACTTATTTAAAGAATAATTTACCATCCGCAGAGAGTTAGTAATAAGTAATCAAGTATATTCACTGAAATCTGTACCCGATATAACAGACCTAGTTTCGCCATGTTGATTCCGATTATAATAAGCACACAGTACATATACAGATAGGTAGGTTACTAGGTAGGTATAAGTTTTCAATGGGGTGGGATGAACACAGAGTAGAAAGAGCCAGAAACGTAGATTACAGATTATTCAATTTTTTAACTTCAGTGTGATTAACTTACTCAATTTTGAAATGATAAAAGTTTGCAATAATTTAATTTTGAAATCCTTTATCTAATAAAAAATGCTAAAAAATTTAATCGGTGTAAATTTAACTACGTCTATGACTATGTGTCAATTAGCAATGATCACTCCGTGCTTTAGTCGTTAATCATTAATGATTAGTATGAGTTGGATATAATAATAAACATTGAGTTATTGATATAGTGCTTTGGATCCTCTTGGCATAAGTGCCTTACTTATTCAAATTAAAACTTTATTCTTAGGAGAAAAAACAGTGATTTCAAACAGTGCAATGTAAATTTAATTCCAGAAAACAAGTTCTATGTACGACGACAGTACATAATATTATAAACACATCGTTTATTCTTTATAATTATCTGAGGCATACTTTAGAATAATTACAAATGGCTGATGATATTGTTTTTGAATTATTACATTCAGAAATAATTAACTACTCTCTAGAGCAGAATAAAAGCAGCAATGGTAAGGTGAGTATCATTTTGTTTACTCATTATATTACGAAACATTTATATAATTATACTAATGCAATATGTATTGCAGGAGGTCGATTTATCCGTCGTGGAGTATATTGGTTTTGCGGCGGGTTACAAAATTATGGAAAGACTGACCAGAGAATGGCCAAGATTTAAGGATGAGTTAGACACAATGAAGTTTATATGTACCGATTTCTGGACGTGTATTTATAAAAAACAGATTGATAATCTCAGAACGAACCACCAAGGTGTTTATGTTCTTCAAGATAATGCATTCAGATTTCTTATAAACTTTTCTAGCGGCCAACAGTATTTGGAATATGCTCCTAGGGTAGGTTAATTCTGAAATATATTTATTTAATAAACTTTACACTAGTATGCCACAACCCAGGTAAGAAACACATTGTGCCTTTCACTGAAAAAGATAAATATAATGTGTTGTTTTAAATAATTTAAAAGGAGTCATAAAATTAAAATTTTTGAACTCGTTCACTTGGTGTGTCTTAAAATAGACCTATTATGATTTTTCTATTGTTAGTATATATGTGAAGAAGCATTTAAAAAAATATTGTGATGGCCCCGGCACCCGCACAGTGAATACCTTTAATGCTGAGAGGTTTCGTTTCATTAACACTTCAGTAATTCTTTGCCCCAATGATGCAAAAAATCCAAATGGGAAATTTTGTTTCTGAGGCTCAATTTGATCTTGATTACAAATGTAATGAAATGATTACATATTTGAAAACTTTTATACATTTTCTCATGAATGAAAGCTACAAAAGTGATAATTAGTGCTTAAGATAACTAAGCTGGTCTCTGTGTTTATGAATACATTAAAATCTTTCATAACTTACTTATGTACATATCTTGAATACTTTGATTGTCCACATCAATTTACAACCCTTTGTACTAATTTTAAAAAGCATGAAAGTGTGTCATGCCTTAGAAGCTTTCAATTTACAGCACAGAAGGCACACAATGTTTGAGTCAGGAAATAGTTGCAGAAGATATTGAATCAGTATAAGTTAGTTATGTTAGTTTATTTTCATTGGTTCTGAGTTGTTTAATATACTTCTAATCATATAATGAATATTTAACTATGACTGTCACTTAATAACTAAAAAAAATCCAGAAGTTTAGTTCCAGTTTTAACAATAAATATAGGATGAATATATATATTATTATGACCTAAACAATAATGTTAAATACTTCTCACAAGCAAAAGTCTACTGCTGTAGTAACTAGAGACAAGTACTTTAGGCATAATAAGCAATTTGCTTTTGTAAATTGCTCTGGGCTAGAGCAGCTCAATTAAACATAAAAGAAAACATTGCCTGTAAAAATTTAAAATGATTTATGTCACAATTGCTCAAAATGTTGCTGAAAATGAAATCTAAAATTTATCAAGACCAATAAAACAATGAAAATGATATGGCGGTGTTATATGATAAGCAAAGTCGTGAAATATGCAATGTAAAGTACCATGTGGTTTAAGTTGGCTAGATTAAAATTGTTATTGAAAATTTTTTATGTTAATAATTGTGCTTTTTTTTCAGTACGTAGCCTACACGTGTGGTCTTATCAGAGGCGGTCTGGCTAATTTGTGTATCAACAGCATAGTCACAGCAGAAGTGCAGACAATGCCCTCCTGTAAATTTCACATTCATGTTCAAAGATCGTAATGTAAAAAAGAATATAACTAAATTATTTAAACAATTTGTAAAATGATACACAATATTATCTGTTGAAATGGACTTTTATTTATAATCTATCCAAATGTTACTTTAATACACAATAGATTTATCAAAAAAAATTATAAAACAATTTTGCTGTTACGATTTAATTAACATGTGCTTTTCTTCCATGATTGAGGTTTAGCATTGTCATAAACAAATAGTAAGTTCATAAGTAAACCAATGCCGCATAAAACGCAGGTTGTGCAGTAAAGTAGACGATCCCGAAATCCTTTTTTCAACCAAACAGGATTGCCATCTTCACACTGTCACATAAATGGATTATCAGAATGTACATACGGCAAACAAAATATTTAAGAAGAAATTCAAAGGCAGAAATATTTTTTTCCCATAAATGTTAGGTTTGGAGTCAAATACCAAAAAACCGATATTGATAATACTTTTAAAAATAATACAAGTTTCATATTATCATATGTACATTTAGCAACGTTCTTATATTTTCTTTAAATCTAAATTTAGAAAAAAAGTTGTCTGTATAAATTCTAAATAAAATAATTGATTTAGGATTAGTTTAGGATGTTCATGATATTTTTTTAAGAAAAGTCAATTATATGTTACTTGAAAGTCTGCTTGGTGTTTCTTTAGTTTCACCAAAGATGGTGTTTGATTGTAAATAATCCCTGTTGAGATACCGCGAGCATGACGTAAAACCTGAAATTTATAATAAATATCTGAAGATGTATACAGGCTAAACTATGACCAAAAAAAATCAAACTTAGTATATAATATATATATTTTACTAACAATATTGCACAACTGCCAATATTGCACTAACGGATGCCTCTAAACCTTTTTATTTATAAATCAAACCGTTGAAGGGGTGAATTTCAAGATTTACTTCCTGTCTTAATGACAAAATTCCGAGAAGTTATGGAAGTATATTAAATGATTGTACTTTTTTATAAATTTGAAATAATAATCTAACTTTGATAGTTCTCCCTTGATGTATGAGATGTTAGTGATGATTTTTTTTTTCTACCGGAGTTTCAACAATTTAAGATTTAAATCTAACTGGTTACTTGACCTTACTCGCTTTACCATTATGCTTTCTCAATTTAAGCATTTTAGCAACATTTCAGTTTTGTTGAAAATATTAACAAAAATATATATTTAGGAATTAAAAAATGGTTTCAAATTTACTTACTCTTAAAACTTGAAACATGACTAACCACCTGTGGAATGGTATTGTTTATTTTATGCTTTTTTTTAGTATCGCTAAATAAACAAGTTTATGTTGGTTAGCAAGAGAAAATCTTGAATTTTAAGTCAGATATTTTGTTTAATTTTATAAAAATGGCCAGTCTGTCCCCTTTTTTCAAAAATGTATATTTAAAAAAAGTACATATGTATAAAAATCAATGACTAAAAGTCGATCAGTATATTTCTATTTTCAAAAGATTCATTTTTTAATATTTGAGGTAACTTAAAAATTGCGGTAAATTTCTATAATAGAAATATTTTATTTAATTTTTTTGATATGAATATCCCTAAATGAAGACACCAAAGTGGTTGAGTCTGAAGGGGTAATTGACACATTGTCATAATGTTTATTCCTCTAACCATAAACTATTACAAGTTATTAATTTAGTCTATGTTTAAAACTTTCTGACGCATTAGTACTTTTTGATTGGCGCTCTTTTGCTTCGTGCTTCCTTCATTCGCTCCGCTCTTTCAATTTCACAGAAAATGGCTACCGAAGAATTGGTGACCGAGCAATTTAAATTTTTAGGAATAGAAGTATCAAAAGAAGTTTTATCAAAATGTGAGTAGCCGATACGTCTTTCAAAAGTTTATTCCACCCACCTTCGCTCCCTTCCTCACTTCAACTGTAGTTTGAAAACTTTTGATGATGTTTAGTTAAAAGCTTTAGGCTGAGAAAATTAATGTTCAAGGTTGTTCTGTTATTCATGTCTTTTAAGGTGTGAGTATATGCACAGAATATGATGTAGACGCTGAAACTTTCATAGAACAATGGATGGCGTTTAGTTTGACTACTTTAAACGGTGCTTCGCCGACTTTAGATAACTTAGAATTACTTGAGAAGAGGGAATTTTCCAAACGGTCTGCGAGTCGACTCACCGCTGTCGCTAATGAAGTTACACATTCAAGTACCGGCACAAGTTTGACTGTTTACGGAGCGCCTGTTGCTAAACAGTATCCTTTTTAATTATTTATTCCACGTGTTTATTTTTAATTTTGCAGAAGCGTTCTTTTGTTCTTTTAATATTTTAAACGTATTTCATGAGATTTCATACTTGTAATGAATGCATGTTTAAATTGTTTTGTTTTTTTCATGTTTTCTGTAGGTAGTATAATTAAATAATAATGCCTTAACTATTAGGTCAGAAAATGAAGTACTGTCTAATTATATGACTACTACACCAAAGGTATGTATACAAAATATAATTAATTTATTTCTTACTATTATCTTATTAATATGAATAAATGGTCATAATTTGTCAAGTATGAAGTTTAATGCTCTGTTAGTGGATTACTAGGTCTAGTATATGTGAAGTGTTAATACAAATTGATGAAGAAATATTATAAGAAGAAATGTTCGTGGAAGAGTATTCTACTGGCATTTAATGGGTATGAATCTAGTGGCGCAGTGCATTTCTGTGACTAGATCTACACTCATTGATTGCTGGTAGAAAATCTACTAAGTTGAAGAAGAGAAATGGATTAATTATGTATATGGTTCTCTATTGTCTTATTTGTATTTTTTTATTATACCAATAGATGTTCTTTATGCGAATTCCCTTATCAATTATATGAAAAGGATGTTTGGTTTATATTGTGAGTGTATATAATGTTGTATTTTTTGCAATATTTGTTTTGTTATGTGAACCTTTTGACTAATAACATTGACTTGATGATATTTGTGGGCGAGTTTGCTTCTGGTTCATGTAAACAGGATATCATGACTAGATCCATACTCGTCTGCAGCCATCAACTCAATCATCAGAAATATCGGAATTATTAATGAAAATGTCTTGTATAAGTTCTTTAAAGCCATATATATGTTCCTCCTAATATATATTATATATGTACATATATAATATTGTACTGAAAAATTGTACTATGTTACTAGGCAATATTTCTATAATTTTATTACCTCTACTTATAACCTTGTTTACTGTTAAGTAACTGAATGATTGATGTTATGTAAAACACTAAATAAATGATTTTAATGAACAAGCTGTTTAGTGTATGTTATATATTAGTAATAATGGTTTACATAAATTTTCAGAGAATAAAAGTAGAATCTGAGACAGGCCCGAAACAAAATGAACTACACCCTGCTACATATTCACCAAAAGTGTAAGTGTAACAATAAAAAATAACAAAGAAAATTATTTTTGATATATTTGAAAAACAGAAATAATAAAATATTAATCTTTCTAAGCTACCTTAAACTGATTTCCAAAGACTAATTATTATTCACATTTCTTTATTTATATATTATCGATATACTTTTACAACAAACATTATGAAGTAGTTTTAGTCAGTGTAATGTACATAAACATTACATATTCAATAAATCAATTCATCTTTAACATTCAGTAAAAATACTTATTCATTATGTACAATAAATTAGGTTTGAAAAAAATTTATTGGGCCAATCAAAGATATATCAAGTTTAAAACCTCGTTACATTTATTTACTAGACTAACTTTATGATGGGTAGTTTTAAGAATTTTAACTTACTTCATTGAATATATTTTTTGATGTGGCAACAATGGAAAAACAAATAATATTTTATTACTATGTTGGATACATTTAGTAAAAGAGTTCACAATTACTAGACACTTCTATTCATGATTTGGAAATAATAAAAATTATCGTCATATAAAGACGAGCCTTATTTATGTATGCATATTTTAATCAGTACCAGTCAGGTTAACTAAAAATAAATAAATAATTTATGTTCTATACAAGAAACATTATGTTTAATATAAAAAAAGTATGAAATTTAATTCCTTAGTCGTAATTTTTTATAAAAGATAAGAAAAGTTGTTCTAATGACAATGTTAAATTAGTTTCTCAATAATAAAGTTTGTAACCTTCATTGTTTATTGAAATAAAAACAGGATCGGCAAAATTGTTGCAACTAAACGGTTTTAATTTTTGAGAAGTCAAATCATGTTTTAATACATTATATTTCTAATACAAGAATGATATAAAAATATATAAGCATTTTTTTAACCTGGATATAGTTTTTAACTCTAGGCATATTTACATAACGGTGCTATAAAAATAATGAGGAATAATGGCCTATTCGTAATAACATTATTTTTTTATGTTCAATTCATAAGCGAGTATAAACTGGCGAATAGAAATTAAATATTTTCATACTTATAACATCCCTTTACGATATTATGAACTGAATATATTATGTCGTATTAATCTGTCATAATATGTAAAAACAATGAACATTAATCTGTAAAATAAATTGTTCTAGAGAAAACTCAGTTAAATACACATCGAGGACGAACCAAGGAACAGTGGTGCATTCATACGGCGAAGATAAGTTGTTGGATATGATCACGAACACAACGGTCTTGGATAATTTACTTGAACTAAATATTGTACAAATACCCAATGATGACGGCGAACTATACAACAAAGCGAAGTGAGTATCTATAGTGACTTGAAGTAATACGATAAATTGGATATGAATTATATTTATATGGTTTTTAAGGTACGGTTTTGAACTGCTGCATGAAAAAGCGAGTATATTTGATAATCACATCCGATATATATCACAGTGTATCATGAAGAAGAACGGCTTGTCCGAAACAGTCTCAGTGAGGTATAAAACACAGGTGATTAAGAAACTAATAAATAAATCTGTATTTTTTGTTAAATATGTTATATATTGAATTTTCTTTGCAGACTGAAGTTTTTGTAGCTGGTCGTATTGAATGCGACGCAGATGCCAGATTAAACTCAAAAAGTGTAATCTTACAAGGTACTTGGGAAGATTCACTGAGCCAGACAGTCCCTCTAGATTTGGATAGGTAAAATATTCCTTATAAATTACAAATATGTAGTTATGTTAGAACTAATAATTAGAAAAAAATACTCTGCTTCTTAAACCCACACTAATTTGGTTGTGTGGACTCGTGTGTTACCCTAAAAACATAAGATCCCGAATAGTTAGCATAATATTATATAAGTATTAAAAGTTTAGGGAATGGTATATGTAGATATTCTATACGATGTATATTTCATTCAGTTCAAATATGATCCTACGGGAGCGATAAGAAATTCTGTTATTAATTATCTCCAAGTCTTTATTATGACGTCTAAGCAACATCAAAGAGAGAACAACCTATACATACTTTCGTATAACACATCCAAACGTAAACAATTGCTCTTATATCTTTAAATATTCCGTTAGTTTTGTAAAAAACAGGAACTAAATTGTTTTTATAACTAATATCTTCCATATTTCCAGTGTGCAGCAGTATTCTCTGTTCCCGGGCCAGGTGGTTGTAGTCCGTGGTATAAATCCACGCGGCAACAAGTTCGTGGCCCAGGAGTTGTTCAGCGACGCGGCCCGCGCTGTGCCAGATCCGGCATCAGATATCACGAACACGCTAAAAGGTATAAATTCTAACATATTTTTAAAGAAACTATATTTGTAGATGTACTTTTTAAGATTTCTTGGAACATTAAATAATAAAAAATATCAATTAATTCGTTTTGTCCTCAATAATGTTGTATTTTTCTTTCAAACTCGCTGAATCGCACATATAAGTTAAGGACATTCTAATTTCAATCAATTTATTCATAAAACTTTTTATTGACCCAAATTAAAGTTATACACAACTGTAGTTTACAGTAATTTATAATTTTATTATTAAAAATTACTAAGTAAGAAGCAATATATAACAATCCTAGATCGAGGTACAGAAAAAGGGACAAGCTGTACATTAAGTCCTCGATTGCATTATGCTTAGTCCAAGTTTGCATCGTCAAACTATATACGAAACGTTTCACGCTTCCCATACAATAACATATATTTGCACTATAGTAGGGGAGCCCAAGAGGGGATTTCGGGATTTACTAAAGCGCGGCAGATTAATATACAGGGGGATACCTTGTACCCAGTTAAGTACCTCCACAAAACATGAGGCCCATATGTAAAGCCGCCCGTGAAGGATAAGGGATCAGATTAGTAAAAAAAAATTGACCATCAGAAATTCTCGAGCGCGTCAGATTAAGGTAGGGTGAGTTTATTACACCCTAAAAAGTGTATATTCCACTAATCTGTCAATTTGAGAGTGACGAAAAAAAAGGGGAGGGCAACAAAGTTGTAAAAAAAAATCATCATCTCGACAATCTCGAGCGTAGCTGGTTTTTTTTTATTTTGAAGGAAATAATTCAAGAATAATGAAAAATATATAATCTGACGATTTCCACAAGCCGAAATAACAAAAATTCGTCGATAAAGTTAAATGCTTGCAGCTGCGTGATGCCTACATTTCCTTCTCCGCGTTTCTATTCCTCTCTCACTCTTTCTCTATCTATTACTCTCTCACTCCGATCCCACTCTGGTTTCTGTTAATTAAATTGTTTAATTGTAAAATTACTTATGAGGATGATAAAACTGCGTCGAATGCCGCCAACCGTGTGAAAATCCGTTGATCCTTTCAAAAGTTATTGCGGTTTGAAAATTCCAAAAATAGTGTTCTATGAAACTTCTGTCAGACTTTTGAGCTGGGAGAGCTCAAATGCATAGAAATATTATTTTTTTGAACTCAGCGAGCTCAAAATATCACATAAATTATATTTTGAGCTCAAAAATGTCATAAGTACAATTTTAAGCGCCCAGGAATGGAATTAGCGAGAAGTTGCAGGGATGGCCTTTAAGGTGAACCGTTTTTCTATTATTTTTTTTTAGATTAGGCGAACCCCTCTACAAAATCGTCAGATTATGAGACAGTACGTATAAAACATAAATATTAACCATATATATCTTAATCTGACGCGCTTGAGTATGTCAAAATGGCGATTTTTTTTTGCACATTATGAAAATGGCCGCGAGTTTGCGTCCCATCGAAATCGTCAGATTAGTGAATGAGAGCTTTTTTTTGGTGCACTTAACACTCCCTTAGAAAATCTGACGCGCTCGACTAATTTTTTTTTTTTTTCATTTTCAACCCTTAAATACAACCACCCGCATCATGCAAACGGTCAGATTAACATACGTACATTATTAAAAATACGTAGGGCATTGATGCTATCAATATCTGACGCGCTCGAGGATGTCCATGCAACAGTTTTTTTTTACATATTTAAAAATCTATAGCCGCTTCCCCCACCGATGTAAAGGTATATATCATATAACATTTTTTTCTTCTTATCATCTAAGCTTTGCATCCCAATAGGTCTCTACGACGCTCGAGTAAATCCCCATTTAGCATCGTGGGCTCCCCTACTACTATATTTGCATAAAGCTATAAATGAAAAAGTTAACACTATGTATAAAAAATATACTGTTCCATTTAATCCTGTTTCAATGTTTTTCTTTATGGTAGTCCAATTATACAATTAAAATATTAACGAATAGGCATTTTCGAATATTCGATAATTATTATTTGAAATTTAAATGACTACAATTTGACAATAGGGTCCTGACAACTAATAATTTGTTTGAAACTTTAAGTTTTCCAAAATTATGCCTTACAATAAATTACAGGTACATTGTCAATGGTTGTAGCGGCAGGTCCGTACACCACGTCTAATAATATGTCGTACGAGCCGTTAAAAGACTTCATAGCATATCTGAATACTCACAAACCTCACGTGGTCATAATGACGGGGCCGTTTGTGGACTGTGACCACGAGAAAGTCAAAGATAACTCAATGGCTGAAACATATAAGTCGTTCTTCGACAAACTTATTGATAGTATAGCTGATATCGCCAATACAAGGTAAATATGTATTACTTAAAGAGGATAAATATATACAATATATTATTATTACAATAAGTTAAATGATTAATTAAATTTACAGTCCTTTCACAAAAATATACATAGTGTCAAATCACAAGGACGCCTTCCATGTGAACATCTACCCTACACCGCCCTATAGCAGTCGAAAGAAACATCCAAACATACAATTTCTACCAGATCCCAGCACTTTAAACATTAATGGATATATAGTAGGCATCACCAGTTACGATGTGCTTATGAGCATCAATCAAGAAGAAATATCACAGTAAGTTAAAGATTTCATGCAAAATCAGCTAAAAATAGAATTTAAAAAATCCTCACACCTAAGACCGATTATTAAAGTTAACAAACTATTAATTTGTATATACCAAGCTGTATAGCATTTTCACGAGATATTTTACTACACAAAGAAACGCATTTATAAATTTATCATTCTATAAAGATGTTTAATATTTGTTTAATAATTTATTCATAAGTCCCGGATTGCAACTGTTTCAAATGATTTATATTGTTAAATGTATCTTAAACCATTGTTTATATATTATTATAGATATTTAAATCGCTCTTCTATATATCCACAGTGGTTTAGTTGGCGATAAGTTATCTCGTCTGTCGGGCCACGTGTTGCGACAGCAGTGCTATTATCCAACGGCTGGTTCTATCGGCTCGCTGGCTGTGGACGGAGCGCTGTGGGCTGCGCACGCGCAACTACCCGCAACTCCTCATATACTAGTAGTGCCCTCTAACTTCAGATATTTCGTCAAGGTAAAATGTATACTAATATTATAAATCAATCATCATCATCATCATCCCATCAGAGCCCACTGCTGAGCAAAAATATACTGAACGAATGTTGACGAAACTTAAATGACGTAGCTTACACACCAGAGCAACGTATGATTGTAATACAAAGAAATAGTATTGGAATTTGGAAAATAATTATTTGAAAAGTCAGCCCATGGCTTTCTTATGGATTTCAAAATGATATTTTTACATATGTCCATAGTAATAGGTGATTATTATCAGAAAATATAAAAATGTACATTATCGATGTTAATTTATTATAACGCGCTATTATGATCATTAATTAGTAAAAAGATATACTTCCTTTCAATTATAGAGCATTTTTATCGATAATTATAATAATATCTCTTTATTACAGGAAGTTAACGGCTGTGTAGTCATAAACCCTGAACATCTCAGTAAAGGAGCGGGCGGCGGGACGTTCGCACGACTGGTCGTTCGTCCCCCAACAGAAGAAAAAACTAATAGTAATATAGCCGCACAGATAGTACGCATTTAATGAAGTTTACATGAAAGTAAAGGCTATTGAATATTAAAATCTTGATACAAAACAAATTTTATTTGATCATATAAACATTAAAAACATCTATTTTAATTTATTTTATGTTATATAAGATTGCATTGGGTGAATATTAAGCTACATAGACACGATCGTCGATCGAGACAATGCCGCCGTTGCCTGAGCGAAGTGCCATTTGAAGTCCCATACGCGGGGAATCTCCGGCCGAACGTCTAGCGTCGGGATTTTCGAGTTGACGATATCTAACGAACACAAGTTGAAAATAGTTAGAACTGCTTTAAATTAGATAATATAATAGGACTTTTAAAGTAGAACATTTAACAGAATAATGATAATTTTATTAGGTCTTACTTCTTCAATGTTTCCAGAGGTTCAGCATTTGAATCACGAACGCCTGTTTCGGGATCGATGGTCGTCATGATACATCTAGAGAAATGTAATCACTATTGTTTTAAATTTGTTTAATCATATTTATAAATAAAACCGTTTAAAAATATCAAGCATAAAAAATTCTAATGACAAAAAGTAAAAGGGAGTATACGAATATAAGGTACAATACCTCGTGCATGGCTTGATCACTTCGAAGATGTTTTCTCCTATTTTAACATATTTCCAATCGTCTTCTTCGTAAGGTTCAGCGCCGGTTATTAAAAAGTTCGGTCTGAAGTTTTTGTAACAAACTTTGTTTCCTTGCAATTTTGTATTGAGATCGTCTATAGAGGCTTCATTTATTAAATTAAACGGTACCTCATCAGGAAGTGCTCCCTGAAAGTAAACGGAGAATTTTTATCTTATATTTTTAAAGTTATTTTTAACAATTAATTGTGTATTTTTAATAAATATATCCTTGCCGTATCATTCTTTGTGAATTTGTATATTTTGTTGGTAGTGCTTCTCAAGTTGCGACTTTTATCCGAAGCATATAGCACCAATCTAAAGTCGGCTGCAGATTTGTGTAATAATCTAAAAATAGTAATTTTTTTTAGAAAAAGTTTTAAAAACTAATTAATTTAATAATACAGTGCAATAAACGTTACATACATTCAATATAAATTCAATGTATATAAAATACATAATATAATAACTTTATTTTTTTTATAGGGATATAAACTAAACGCCGATTTTATTTTTTACTGACAGTAACCAATCTTTAAACAGTATCTTAAATTATACTCTTGTTTGTACCGACATTAGTTAGCAAAGATAATAATATAGCGTGGTGTAACTTTGAATAGATAAGGTGTATAAATATCATAAGTAAAATTTTTGTCAACTTGAGATGAATATACCTTGAAAACCATTCGCTAGGTTCCCAGCCGCAATCATACACAGGAACTTGAACACCCCACACTGTTGCAGTTTTTGCGGTTTGCAAAGAAATTATCTTAAATTAAAAAACATGAAAATAAAACCTCAAAACATATATGTATATTGGAGTAACTTTCAAAGGAAAAATATATTTATTTTCATCAACACCTCACTTTACCTCTGATAGATCCACGTTGAGTATTTCCATGTCATTATGTTGTAAAGACAAGACAGAATTTCGTATTGTTGGATGTACCAATAGCAATTCTGGATATGCCCTTGCAGTGATGAAGTTAAATTTATTATCAACTACCATCAGAGTTCTGTAAGTAGACAGATACTTTTGTAGAAGATTTAAACGACATGTAATTTAAGAATGAAAATATTGGTATGTGCAAATGGTTCTAACAAGTTTTTTCTTACAATAAAAATATCGTAATATTAATTTGATAGTGGCCAAGTGTATTAAATAGGAAAAATATTGTTAAATCTATATATTTGTCGTTATTTGTAGTGATAGTTCATATCATGCTCTTTGTTTACTTACTTTAATAGCTGATAAAAAATCGTAATTTTTATTACAACTCTACTGTAAATAATTCCCAAAGTCAATATACCTGTACCTGATATGTATTTCCAACTCACCTGTCCCTTAACCAACCGTCCTTTAGACCGAGTAAAGTACATTCAGCTCTGTCCCTTTGCACCGGACCGCAAGATTTTATAGGATATATATAAATATCCTTCAGAGAGCCAACTTCCCTCCATGTTGTTGGTAGCTTACGTTTCTGAGCTTCATTATAAAGATGATACGCACAGTACGCTCCAGCGAGGACGCCTGTTGTAGCGACCGCTGCACTTAGATACGACCCTGTGAAAACATCTCTTTCATTAATAATTTGGTCAAATTCATAATTATTATATTTTTCTATATCAGGGTATAAAGAAGAAAAATATATTATGTCTTCATTGAAATTGGAAACTAATCTGTTTAAATTAATATTACTCTTATGTATACGTACAATATGACTAAACATTTAAATAAAACTGTATAACAATGCATCAACTTATAAACAAGTGCATCAGGTATGTACGTAAAAAATGAGTAGTTAACGCGATAACCGTCTTATATCGGTATTAATAACTGATAACAATACTAAAGTATGTTTTACTTTTAATATAAGAGAATTATAAAATTCAGTATAGAAAACACTTGTTAAAGAAACAAAAAATATTTTGTATCCAGTTTGCTTACCCTGTGACATGACTCTCGACAAATAAATAAATTATAATCTAAATCAAACGTAAATCTACAGGACTGAAGTTAACATTTGCTAGTGTTGCCAACATTCAATATAGTATTGTGCTAGTATCTTGCGATAAGTGGGACGGGGGACGACTGTACTGGTTTGACAGAGATTTTGACGCACACGAGATGTTTGAGAACAAATATATCTCCTGATAAGAAATCGTTATATGATATTCGTAAAATTGTCGGGTTTATAAATATTGAATTATTAAGTACTAAATCCATGGCGGAGTGTAATAATGGTTAATTAATTTTTTTTAAAAGCAAAATAGTTTTAAATGAAAGTTATGAAACATAAAATAAGTATATTAGAAAAAACTTTTCAAATAAAAATGCCTTGTTCCTTCCATTAATTCCTTCTTACGAGGGTCAAACTGAAAGTTCTTAGAAAATCAAAAACTGATTACATTAGCCAGTTATTAGTTTTATTATATCTTTTCAAAATATTGTCCATTCACGTCAATACACCGCTGCATGCGATGGAACCACTGGGAAAAGCACTTTGCCCACTCGTCCTTAGGGGTCTCTTCAATGGCATCGCGATACGCAGCCACCGCTTCTTCAGAATCATAAACCACTTTCCTTTAAGTTTTTCTTAAATTTTTGGAAATAAATAAAAATCACAGGGCGCGAGGTCGGGGCTATACGGCGGGTGACCCAGTAATTCAACGTTTGATGTAGCCAAATAGTCGATCGTTCGATTGGCGGTGTGCGACGAGGCGTTGTCGTGGTGAAGGAGGATCCTACTGCGAGGTCGTTTCTCTCGAACTTTTTCCAAGACAAGTGGCAAACAATTGGTAGTGTATCATTCTGCAGAAACTGTTTTTTGATCCTCTAACACAATTGTTGCGAAATGAACTATCCTTCCAAAAGAACGAGGCCACCATTTTTTTTCCCGCAATTCGATCTTTCTTTACTTTAGTTGGCAACTCCTCGAAAGGACACACCCTCTGAGCAGATTGTCTTTTGGTTTCAGGATCATAACAGTAAATCCAGCTTTCGTCACCTGTTAGTATGTCGAACACAGCATTTGAGTCACCTCCATTAAATCTTTCAATCATTTTACGGCACCAATCAACACGATGGAGTTTTTGAGCCTCAGTCAAATTATGAGGTATCCACCGGGCGCAAAGCTTACTGACCGCTAAATGTTCGTGGAGGATTTTGTGCACTTGACTCATACCGATGAAGAAGCTTGTCCGAATCTGCTGATAGGTCACTCTTTTGTCAGTATCTATCATACGCCGCACAACACAGATGTTATCTTCAGTCGTCACCGTAGAAGGCCGTCCCTCACGTAAATCATCATTGAGATTAGTGCGACCACGTTTAAACTCATTAAACCCGTTGTAAACAGTCGCACGAGATGGGGCCTCATCGTGAAAGGCCAATCGTAGTCTATCATAACTTTCTGGTTGACTTAAATGACATCTAAAGTCATAAAAAATCATTGCACGAAAATTTTCTCGTGTTAAATTCATGTTGACGTGACACAGACAATTTTTCAATTTGCCGCCAAATCGTAAAACAAATGATAAATATATGAAATATATACTCAGTAATATTGGCAAAGAGTTCTATTTTCAAATTTAAAATTATTTTTTTATTATATTGTTTATAAGTGGCCAGTTCTAAGAACTTTCAGTTTGACCCTCGTATTTCACCAAATGAAAAGAGTTATTTATCAAGAGTATAACTTGGTACTTGCCACTTGGTACTTGAAATATGAAAAGGTAAGAATGAAAAGCGAAAAAGGGACTAAACCCTTGTATTTTACAAAAGCTAAATATAAATAGGTTTTGAATAGAACCGTTTAAAGTGTTTAAAAACAGTAGTGTTTTACCTAGGCTTGTATTTCAATATAAGTGCAAATGTTTTTACAATAATTTTGTTTTCCGAATCCTATTTATTATTATTTGTTTTTTTATTTCATGTATTTGTTCCACTCTTTTCTTGTCACTGTTTCTTCTAAAAAAATGTACACAATTTTTTTTATTTCGTTTGGTTTTCATCTAAGGACATTTACATCTTCTGCATTTATAGCTAAAATCTAGAGCATTATAATTCTATTTTCATAGCTCATATGGAAGCCATAACTAATATGTCATTACAATTCTACTAAGAGTACATATTTCATTCAACTCTTAATAAGTATGTACCATGTAATTGTTCACTCTAGTTTCTTTCTATAGCACATGACATCCTGTGATGGTTATTCTAACATCTGGACGAGTGGAAATATTTATTTCTAACGATTTTCTTTGTCGAAATACTGACTAGAATAGTATGAGAAACATACATGACAAAAATTAAGAATAATAAGAAATCAAGATGCTAGACTAAATTAACAAACATGTTGAAGCTACATCATACCTTCTAACCGAGTACCAGGAGTCAAACAAAGAGTTATGAAAAATTAAATACTATTTAAGTTATTCATATTACCAAATAACTAGCAATGAAACTATTTGACTATAAATTCAAGTTTTATTGTCGTCAGCCTATCAGAGTCCATTGCTGAGCTAAGACCTCTTCTCACATGGAGAGGTTTGAGCATTAATCACCAATCTTGCTCAAGACGGGTTGGTGATTTCAAACTTATAATTGTGAAACAGGTTTCCTCACGATGTTTTCCTTCACTGTTAGTTTAAGTTTTACTGTAATAAGATTTAATTGTAGGTTTGATGATTGATTTTAGAGCATCATTTTCCATTTATTCTGACTGGACTGAAGTCTGGATCTAAAAGATCAAATAAGATTTGATCTTTTAATAGATGGTTGTTCTCGGAAGTAAATAGAAAGCCAACACACTTAGAAGCTGATGACATCGCCACGTGCTATTTATGTTTACGTGATATTATTATAACTAGCTTTTGCCGCGACTGCGTCCGCGTGGAATAGTGACTTCCGGCAGATTTTTGGTTCTTAACACATAGTTTCCGTTCTTGCGGTGTTTTCAAAATGGTCGAGTTCCCGTAGAATTTCCAGGATAAAACCTATGTTTTTTTATTCACAATGAAGTACTCTTAACCAACAACATATTTATTTGTTTATTTGAATAAAGATTAATATTATTATGTTGATACAACTTAAACAAATAATTTCGACCAAATTAGGTACCATAAAAACGGTTTTTGTGAGTTAATCTTAAAAGATAGACATATACTGTCGCGGACTGTTTTTTAGATCATTAAAAGAGCTATTATTCTTTACTACATATTTTTTGTGTATCTTGAACCGTTTTCACGGCGCACGCAACGGAAGGCTTCAAAGATGAAATAATTTCTCCCGTTTTTTACACATTTATCACTATATCTTTGCTCTTATTGGTCGTAGCGTGATGTTTTATAGCCCACAGCCTTCCTCGATAACTGGACTATCCAACACAAAAAGAATTATTCAATTCGAACCAGTAGTTTTGGAGATTAGCGCTTTCAAACAAACAAACAAACTCTTCAGCTTTATAATATTAGTATAGATATAGCCATAACGTCTTTTGAAGTTAATAATTCTCTTATTATATTTTTTTGTTAGTTATCAATATGACATCTAATTTTCTCATTTATATTTTTATTAATATTTTCAATACATCAATTTATAGTTAGGATTATACCTATCGTATATTTTATTTGCTTTTGGCATTACCTGTCACGTGATTAAAATCTTGTTTAACAATTGTTGGAAATTGGAATATTAAGAAATTCAAAAAGAAAAGACATTAGTTTTTGTTTATTCTATATCTCCTTATAATATTCTCTTTATAAAGAATATTTTTTTAATCAATATAGTATTTTGTCTGAAAAAAATTGTTAATTACTATTAAGAACAAATGGATCCTAATGGTCTTATCAAATCAGTGTTGTAGTGCTTAGGTGCCTGTCAAAGTTTTAGGAAACCCAATAAGAATAACATATCTGATATCAGTGTAGAAAGCACCTGTTTATGTAGGAAATATGAATTGGAATCGAAACATAGCGGTTTGCTACTCTAAGTGAACTAGTAGTAAAAAACTGACTTCCAATATTCTCTCAGATAAAGGCAGTATTTTATAAAAGATGAAATGATATATACAACTTAAATTTATCTTCATAACTAACAAACCTCTATATAAAAATAGCTGTTAAGGTACAGCAAAGTACAAACCGGTATTATTAAAGTTGACTTAAATTTTAAAACTGATAGTTAATTTAACTTACAATGTAATGTGTAACGCTATCACTGGCAACTTAAATGTGTGCACAATATTAAATTACTCCTTTAGATGTGTTTTGAAGACTTTTTAAATAAATAAAAAGACTTTCGTGGTAGCATTAAGGACAAGTACATATGTTTGTTGTATTTAACTTTCAAGGTGGTTTTGATATCTCCTAATGAAGACGATGATTAGATAATCTCAAAGTTTAACATTCCAAGTATCGATTACAATAGGCCCAAAAAAGTAAGTCAGGAAGGTTTTATGACCGAAAATCAATTAATAAGAAGTGTAGGTAATTGTACCATTGATGGCACTATATTTTGATAACTCTTAAAAGAGAGAACTTGGTCTATTAACATGGTTATTTGTTGTGGATATGACTTAAAACATTCAGGAATATTTGGTGCTTATTATATTTTCATTGTGTTAACAAAATTGTAGTAATACAAAGCAATAAAGAAAAGTGTATATTAGCTGATTTCTTTAGCAACTGTAGGCACCTATTACGAATTGGGTACTACTTCCTACTACTAAATGTTTTATCAAATGAACTTATAACTGAAACATGTATTTAATTTAGACCAGAAAATATTAATATCAGGATATAATATTTTTCAAGTACTTGCGAGTGAAATCTAAAAAAAACTGGTTACTCATCTGGACTTTTAACATTGAAAATTTGGATTTTCAGTAATGTAATCTAGACAAATGAATTAAATATGTTTCCAGAATTATCAGTTATTATAATGATGAGAGTTGGGGTCAGCAGCAGTTGAATTTATTTTTATTTATAGTAGGCAGTTTCATTAAATTAACTATTAAATTCCTGAATTGAAAAAAAGCGTATTATAAAGATGCCGTCGCTGAAACAGTTACAAAAAAAAACTCGAATCCAAATATGGCTATGAAATAACAGTGTTGCATAAGATTTATTAACAATGAATATTAATTTCAATAATAATATTTTTGGTAAATGAATAAATTAAGCTACGTAAATACGATCATTGACCGAGACAAGGCCTCCATTCTTGGACCTGAGCGCCAAGTGTACTCCCATTCGTGGAGCGCTGCCGGACCAGGGTCTAGCACTGGGATCAGTTATCTGGCGGTAGCTGGAATAAGTTTCATTTTTGGAGAAAATTTAAACTAACTTTAAACTAAATTATATAAATTTTTGAAGTCGGTAAAGATCATATAGGTACATATTAGTTTTTACCTTTTCAACGTCTGAATAGGCTCTGCTTTTGAATCACGAATACCTGTCTCAGGATCAATCGTTGTCAACATACATCTGAAGTATATAATTAGATTTAATTAGATTTTTATAAAAATAAGGTTGTTTTTCACTTGAAAGTATCAAATAGAATTAAAAATATAGTATTACATACCTCGTGCACGGCTTGATCACTTCGAAAATGTTTTCTCCTATTTTAACATATTTCCAATCGTCTTCTTCGTAAGGTCCAGTGCCGGTTATTAAAAAGTTCGGTCTGAAGTTTTTATAGCAAACTTTGTTTCCTTGCAATTTAGTATTGAGATCGTCTATAGAGGCCTCATTCATTAAATGAAATGGTAATTCATCTGGAAGTGCTCCCTAAAAGTAAACGGTTTGTTTAAAATTAATAAGTGTATTATTTATTTTGGTAAATTATTAATAGTTAGTATTTACTAAAAAAAACTCACCGTATCTGCCTTGCGAAACTTATACACATTATTGGCGGGTTTTTTTAACTTGCGAGAATTGTTGGAAGCATAAAGTACTAATCTGAAGTTGTTTGCAGACTTGTTTAGTAATCTAAAAAAAACAACTTCTTACACTCTTGTGTAATAAAAAATAGCTCTTGCTGTTTAACTATTTATTTCTAGCAATAAAGATCGTCCCGATACGTTCGTACCCCAGAAGCATACAAATTACGAGAATAAATAAATATATGTATTTGAAATTGTTTTAAGTATGATTAACAAAAGAAGAACATTAAATAGTTTTTAAAGTAATAAGTGTACCTTGAAAGCCATTCGCTTGCGTCAAAACCGCAATCGTATACAGGAACCTCAACACCCCACACAGTTGCAGTTTCTATCGATTGTAAAGGAGCCTTCAATTGTATAAAAAATAAATCAATTATATTTGTATTTAAATAATTCTGTTTGATCCTTATGACTATCACTATACCTCTGATAGATCCACGTTGAGTATTTCCATGTCATTGTGTTGTAAAGTTAAGACAGAATTTCTTATTGTTGGACGTATAAAAAGTAATTGTGGATACCCTCTTGCAGTGATAAAATTATTTTTGCCGTCAACTACCATCAATACTCTGCAAAAAGCTTTCTTGTTTGTATCTTGTCAATAATAAATATGCATTAATATTAACATTTGACCTCGTTATCAACATATTGCGATTAGTTATTGAATGTCCTATTTATTTATTTATGTGATTTGTTTTAAATAAGACGTTTAAGTTATACTTAATTTTATATACATGGAAAATAAACTCACCTGTCCCTTAACCAACCGTCCTTTAGACCGAGTAAAGTACATTCAGCTCTGTCCCTTTGCACCGGACCGCAAGATTTTATAGGATATATATAAATATCCTTCAGAGAGCCAACTTCCCTCCATGTTGTTGGTAGCTTACGTTTCTGAGCTTCATTATAAAGATGATACGCACAGTACGCTCCAGCGAGGACGCCTGTTGTAGCGACCGCTGCACTTAGATACGACCCTGCAAACACCTCTATTATTAACATATTGTAGAAAAATCTTTGATATACTGAAACATACTTGCAAAAGTGTATCTTTATTAGAAATGAAAAAGTATTTTACATTTATTCACTATAATTTAAACCTTATTATGCATATTAATATTAATCTTTATTAATCAACTTGCGTTTAAATGAACTTTAAAATGTATATTATGGAATATTTTTGACAGAATATTTTACGATATAAGGTAGATTTAATTATTTTTGAAACATTTGACATTGACCTAAAAGTTTTTTTAAATATTTTATTTATTATAAAGCAAAAAAAAGTAAAATGTCGTAATAGATAAAATTATATGTTACAGTGAGTATACGTACCTTGTGGCATGACCGTCGATCAATATTCTTAATGCACCTTCAATATCAATAAGAGTACAGTATTCAAGTAATTACATTACATTGGCGAGTGTTGTCAACATTTATTTACCCGTTTTATCAGCAGATGTATAATTACTTCTCTCATATATTTAATTCGTTAAGTTCCTTTTCACATTTTAATTATTTTTTTTTTAGTTTAATACTATTATTTATAACATTATTCTGATTTCTGATTAAACTAGTTATATGTATCTGTAACCGTTAGACTGGCTATTTTTGTAAATAGCAATTAGTGGAGGAGTGTCTAATAATATTAACGATATATATTATATAGGTAACGTCATCTTAGATTTTCATGAATTTTTTGAGACATCGGGATTATAGGCTAGTGGTGATTTCATAAAAAAATCTGGTTTTAAATAATGTCGTTATCTTTGTTCTATGAAAAGGTCCATGACGATAGATGGCGTGTTAACCATCATGAAGATAATTAGTTTTTAGTATCTACTATTTTACCGGCACATTTTATTAGGGACTGTTTAATGTTTCCTTTGATTTACCAAAGCGTGCTACCAGCATAGTATGTAGACTACGGCTAGGGCACGCGTATACCCCGGTCCACTTGGCTAAGCTTCATATAATAGATAGCTCTCTCTGTGAGTGCGGACTTGATGAAGGATCAGCTGATCACATTTTTTTCACTTGCCCTCGACTGTCTTCCTCTCTTTATGATCTCCTTCCCCCTCATATCTTTTGTTAATACCCCTTTTCTTTATATTCTATGTTCGTTTATTAACCTCAATATCATCAAGCTGTAGAATGTGTGTCGTTTAATCAACTAACCACCTGTATATATAGTGTGCGTCTTTTTTTGTTTGTTTTAGATACATCAACATTTTATCATTCACTGAACGACCTCAGCACCATCCTAGCTCTTAGCTTCTAGTCGCGACCTTGTTCACTCACAAATCTCTCATTACATAGTTCAGTATAATATCGTTACACGACATTGGCGAAATCTATAAGGAAACGCTACTAACTAAAGAAGAAGAAGAAGAAGAATGTTTCCTTTAAAACAAATTAACTGAGTTTTTCAGAATCTCTCTGTGAGTTAGTAAGAAAGTCTATGAAATGAAAATGACTTTATGAAAGTGAATTCGATCGAGACTTCAATTTAATTAAACACCAGGTCAATGTTAATATGGTTCACGCAAAACGTTTGAATCACGCATCTCCATATAAAGAAGAATTGTCCTGATGAATTACACAGATGCTAGCAGAAAGTAATTAAACATAGAGGTCCAGTAACAACAGTCAAAGTTAATTAAGAAATGGAAGGATAGAATAGAGATATTTGGAAACAGTGCTGATTGAACGTAATTAATAAATTACAGAAAATTTGACGTTATACATTTCACAGCAAAATAAGAAATTAAATTAAATAGATTGAAGATATTAGCTGCATCACCTCATATTTGAAACCACTGTCATTTTTATATTTATAATTGTTAAGGATAGCGAAGAAAAATGTAGGTGAAACTTGAAAATCAGAGTTTGTGCACGGCTTGGGAAAATGCTATTAGTGCAGCTTTAATTTTACTTAATCAATCAGAATGATGACACAATAAAACACAAATATGATTATTTAAAAATTAATCATTACAAAAATGATATTATTTTATTTTTAAAATTAAGCAACGTAAACACGATCATTGATCGAGACGAAGCCTCCGGTTCCAGAGCAAAGTATCATATGTAGTCCGATCTGTGAAACATTTTCGGTTGAAGGTCTGGATTCGGGTTCAGTAGTGTCACTAGAAAAAAATAAATAGCTTAGTATAAATAATTGTATTAATAAATTAAATGACTAAAACAAAAGAATAGTATTAAAAACTAAACAAAAAACACGCTTTTATAGCCGTCGGAAGTATGAATAAATTATTTTTAATTACCAAGAGTTTATATTTATTAAAGTAGTGCACTGTAGAAGTTCTCGAAGTTTATGATACTTAACATATGTGAAGGGAGCCACTGACAAAATACGCAACATCAACATAAGGGAATAAGAAAGTTTCCATCAAAACAATAATTTGAGCTAGGTAATTCTTGATGCCAATTAAGAGTACATTCCATACAAAATTAAAATGTTTATGTACAATACCTCGTGCATGGTTTGATTACTTCGAAAATGTTTTCTCCTATTTTAACATATTTCCAGTCGTCTTCTTCGTAAGGTCCAGCGCCGGTTATTAAGAAGTTCGGTCTGAAGTTTTTGTAACAAACTTTGTTTCCTTGCAATTTCGTATTGAGATCGTCTACAGAGGCTTGATTCATTAAATGAAATGGTAATTCATCTGGAAGTGCTCCCTAAAAATTAACAGTTAGTTTAAAATTTAAACGTATATATCATTTTTTGGTAAATAATTAGTGGATACTAAAAACACTCACCGTATCTGTCTTACGAAATTTGGACATATTATTGGCGGGTATTTTTAACTTGCGAGAATTGTTGGAAGCATAAAGTACTAATCTGAAGTTGTCTGCAGAATTATCTAGTAATCTGAAAAGTAAACTTTATCTTATTTTTTTATGCTCCTAAATGAAATTAAAGCTGCTTGATATTATAAACTTATTGCTTATTTGTTACTGACAACACTATATTACGTCTAAAGGCATCTATTATCTAGACATAATTATACAACATAGAAACATAATAATAAGTTTAAAGTTTCAGGAGTTAAATCAGTAAAATCCTACACCTTATTGAAGCTTTATAAAAATCGTTATAAGTATGATTAACAAAAGAAGAACAATAAATATTTTTTAAGTTATAAGCATACCTTGAAAGCCATTCGCTCGCTTCATACCCGCAGTCGTGTACAGGAACCTCAACACCACATACATTTGAGGTTTGAATAGGTTTCAAGGCAACCTTAAAATAAAAAAAAGTCTATAATTGTAGTATCTAAATAATTCAGTTTGTTCCTTATGACTCTTCACTATACCTCTGATAGATCCACGTAGAGTATTTCCATGTCACTATGTTGTAAAATTAAGACAGAATTTCTCATTGTTTGACGAACCAATAACAAAACTGGATATGAAATGGCAGTGATGAAGTTGTATTTATCATCAACTACCATTAATGCTCTGTAAGAATTTAAAGTATTTATAAACATTTAGTTTTTAAGGCCGTCAGTCTTCATATAATTAAAGTCCTATTTATTGTACATATAATGACTCGAAGAAAACGATCAGTACCTAGATGACAGAACAACTTAAAAGTACAAGGAATATACCTACTAGCCTTTCGGAATAAAGCTTTCATTGATAAAAAGCCGATAAGAAGCCTAAAACTAACCTCATAAGTAAATTTATTAAGTGATTTTAACAGTTATACTTTGTAACCTTGTTAATTTTTTTGCAAACTAGTTTAGAATCAATGTGAAAATTGACGTTGCACCACGTTATTCAAGTTATCCAAGCAGCCGCTTGTAGAAAAGGTAGATAAATTTACGTTCTCACATTGAGTCGAAACTTAATTGAATGATCCTTTTTTTTATAAAAGATAAAATTTATAAAATGATAAAAAGGAACATTTTAGTACCAATAACTAACAATAAAATTCTTCTAGGAAAATACGAAAGGATAAAGTTGTGACTGTGTAGGTTAGTATGTATTTAGACAAAAATTCTCAGCATTCCAAGGATTCACCGTGAGGTTGCCGGTTCCATAAAATTGCAGGGCGAGGAGCTTCAACAGTGCCTGGGACTTGCGACCCAGGTTTAGGTTTAAGGCGCTCTCATTTAACGCGCGTTTAACGCTCACCTCCACCGTCCAAGCTCCTCTCTCTACCTAAACAAATTTGAAACGACCTAGTGGCTCTGCTTTAAAAGTATGTTCTTAGAATGAATTCATGTTAGTTCTAGACAGGCCGAAGTCCTTTAGTAGGTTCTAGAGACATTTATCAAAATATATTATAACCATCGCTCTCGCTTCTACGGCGTATAAATTTACTGTGAACCTATTCTTAGTGAGTTCGATAATGAGCTCGCTATACTTGTGGATTTTGATCGCATGGTCTTTGGGGATGTTGGTCCCCCAAGGAATCGCAGTATTATTAGCACAACGCGCTTTAAAATTCGCGAATACAGAAACATGTCTGATCTGGAAGCCGCCGCTCTGATATATTCTGGGATTGTTTATTGATTCCCATATGTATCCATCATTTCTAGTGCAAATATAACTTTGTTATACAGCGTTGTGAATCTATAGTATGCAGTATACTAAGTTTTTGTTTAGTAACTAAGCATATGGTAAATAACTGAAGAAAGATGTGCTCAGAATTACCTAACATATATTTTTTATTGTATTTCCAACTCACCTGTCCCTTAACCAACCGTCCTTCAGGCCGAGTAAAGTACATTCAGCTCTGTCCTTTCGCACCGGACCGCAAGATTTGATAGGATATATATAAATATCCTTCAGAGAGCCAACTTCCCTCCATGTTGTTGGTAGCTTACGTTTCTGAGCTTCATTATAAAGATGATACACACAGTACGCTCCTGCGAGGACGCCTGTTGTAGCGACCGCTGCACTTAGATACGACCCTGTAAAAACATCTCTATTATTAATAAATTGTAGAAAATAATTAAATATGTTTAGAACAAAATCTCAAATCACTTCAAAACGTAATATATGTAACTTTATATGATTTTTACGTGCCTAAATATAAAAAAAAAACAAAAAATTGTTTTATATACGAATACCTAATTGTAACGTGATACATGTTGGTATTTAACTTCGAATTGCAATAATAAGACAGTTAAAGATAAATAAACACATTAAAATAAGTAAATTAATTTATGAGTGTAAAACAATTAACACGACTACAAGTAATTAATTAATTATTATGAATTATTTTACATTTTATTTAAAAAAATATTAGAAAATTATTTGCTGATATATACGAATTATAGGAGAATCTTAGTTACGAAGCCTACCTTGTGGCATGTTTAGTAGACAAATAACTTTAATGATTCTCTCAAGTCTTCTAACATTGGAAAGTGGAAATCTATTTGATAATGTTATCACAATTAAACCGCACATTATTGGAAAACCATTATAACTAATCACTTCATAAAAAAAAATCCTTCATATATTAATAATATAATAGTTATAACAATTTTTTGGGTTTCAGTCCACAAGTTAAACTATATATTTTCATTGTATACCTAAGCCTTAATTGAAATTGAGAAAATAATTATTTTTTACTCCTTTTTGTGTTCAAAACATACTAGAATATAGACTTCATATATTAAATGTACTTTACAAATTCATTTATAACAAAAATGAAATGACAAGCTTTGTAATTGATTAAATTCATCTATGAGAGTTGGTTGTGCATTTTTAATATTATTCAAAACATTTGATATAGAACATTAAAATTTTATTTAAGCCTGTATTTTGTACTCTAACACTAGCATTAAAATAACTATTTATTTCCTGACATTAATTAAAAGTTTCAGTTCACAGATCAGTTTTCAGCCACCAGGACTTTAGGACTTTGAACCCGAAGAAGCCTTTACTTTAGACTGGATTGAGTTTTTGTCTCTTTAAATTTAAATTTGTGTTTAAATTTAAATAAAAAATATATATTTTTTAATGATTTCTATTAATTTATTACTTATATAGTTAATCAAAAATATTTTTTATTTTTATAAATCTTTCAATAAATATTCCATGTTTGTGACGTAATACTCTAATTATACTATACACTAATTAATAAATAAATTAACCAAATAGATTTTTCAATTTCATGTTGATATTGTATCACTGGTAAGTGGTAGGTAATAAACATTAATTAGGGCAGGTAAATGATAGCTATTACAGTTATATATATATCTATTTAATTGAGTTGATATAACTAAGTTCTCTAACTCAAGGTTAGTTGGGAAAAATATTATGATATGGCTACGAAAAGCCTTAAAAACTTGAATTATTACATCTTTCATTTGATAACACAAGAGGAGTATACTGTACATACCGTTAGCTTCACTAATTAATTATCAATTAATTATTATTTATTCAAATAGTATGTACGATTATTGTCAAAAATTTTAAAATCTATTAATATTTGAGATAGTTTAATAAATCTTATTTTTTTTGTCATATTAAACCTTGAAAAGATTTCTTGGATAATGTATTTTCTTCAATATATGTATTAAGTAAAAATCATGTTTACCTAACTATTTTCAAAACGTGACGTAATATTAGTCGACCGACTCTCTAGTTGGCCAAAGGGATGCAGTTGATTAAGCACCAAATGGGGTTTAAGATTTAATTTCTTAATTTTGATTTAAATTAATAAGTGTTTAGAATAGGAGGAGAAATATCTTTACTGGTTGTAACAAATAAAATATAGTAAGCCTCCAAAAACATTTTAAAGACAACGTTGAATTTCATCATAAGACCGAATTCGAGTACTTGTATTGTAAATATTATTTATACGACAGTAAAAATAAAACACAATATATGATAAAGCATATTGCAGATATAAAATACTTATTTCTCTGTTTATACATCACCAAGTAAGAATTTACTCTGTCTACTGAAGGAAGGTCGAACTTAAAAATTTTTTAAAGATCGAAAAAGAAAATCTTCTTAAATCTTCAAAACCTAAATTGAAAAAGTACCTATTGAAGTAGTTTTAAGATTTAAGTTGTATCAGGCATTACTAAATTCCCTTTTACTTAATCGTTATTCTTCATGTACCTTATGTTTAATATTTTAATTTATTTTCCGAATGTTTTATCGGCTTTCAAAATAAGAAATTGGGTTTTCTGATCAAAATAAAAAAACACAAAAAATAAATAAATAATGTAGTAAGTATATAGGTGATTTGTAGACTCCTAAGTTCCACAATAGTTTTGTGCCGTGCATTATTTACAACCCCAAAACCTACACCTGGGTCACGTATGGTGAATCCATGTAATGCTGAGAGGTTTCGTGACGCTTCTTTACTACATTTAATGAAGTTACACGCAAACAAAGAACTATGTATAAAGAAAACTTAAATAATACTCAACGTTAATTGGTCGCGGTATATTATATATTGGGAAGGACATAATATAAGTTTTGAGATTTTACGTCAGGTGTATATTGTATATCGTATATTCTAAGTAGTCAATTGCGATATGAACTCACTAACTGTTGCTTTCAGTAGAAACGCATTATATAGTGAATTTATATTAATAAATTTCAGGCTTAGAGTGTTGCTATGGACATTTAAGTTATATTTAAAAATATGTGTATAGATATCAGCGTTTATTTGGAGATTAATTATATTTTAAACATGACGAAAGGTAGGATTGAGGATTCATGGAAATAACGTTAGTTGTAAATTTATACAAATTTTATTACGTAAGTTGACAATATTGTTAGGTTGTTGTAAAAAAAATATTCTTATTGTCCTTATAACATCACATCTTGTCTTTTTGTAAACAAAATATTAAAAAAGAAAAAAAAATATGCAAAAAAAAATATGCAAAAAAAAATAATTAAAAATCATGAAAGTCTAAGAAATGATAAACTATTTATAGGTACACTATATATATATATGGTTAATATAAATTCAAATTATAGATATATTGTTTTTATAACACGTAGTAATATAATATTCATAAATAAATTCTTTATAATCGCATCTCCACAATTTCTGAATATTTTACGTAATAAATTTTGGTTTTTCTAACACAACTAAAATTCAAGCATATTCATTTAGAAGTAGTATGTTTTTCAATTCTCTTAGAAAGAATATTTCTTTTCAACAAATACATATTTTAACTACATATATTAGTGACAGTTTTCATGCATAAATATTTTGAAGTCACAAGATTCCCAATTGACGTATACACTTTTAACTAATACAATTATAATAGAAACAGAATAAAATATATTTTTGTTTCAGTTTTGTATGTCGTAACCACTGGCGACCTAGCAGGTGCATACTGGATGTTTTATCTTTTTAGCCACTCCAAAAATCTCAATATTCATCAACTTGGAGAGAAGTAAGTACTTTAAAAGACGTTCTAATATGTATTATATCCTATGTATATATCCTATATATATATCCTATATATACTAAATTTATTCCCAAGTTTTTTATAATTTGTAATATTTCAAAAATTGTAAAAAATATATATAATAACTAGTTTTTCGATAGTCATATATGTTTTGAATTTCATGATGATATCTTGAATAGGTATAGAAAAAAAAAAAAATTGTTACGGGTTGTCACCCCTAGATTCCCTTACTATAGGGGTGTGGGGTGTGATATTGTTTGGCTAGTTTAGATAAAAAACAATTTAAAAAAGGTATAAATCCTTCATCAACACTTTTCATATACTTATCCGTCTAGATCGTTTGACAGCAGTATTTCATACAAGATCGGGCCTATGTTTTATAAAAACAAAGATGTTGCCACAGCGTGAAGAATGCAGTGCTGTTGCAAAAACTAAGTACATTTGCAAGGAGACTGAGTTTTGACACCTATGAACACACGACATCCAAAATAGGTTCGTTGTTCCTCAATACCTAATTGTGTGTTTTAAATTTCAATGATACCTTCTGAAAAGTTAAAGTAAAGTGAAAGTGAACGGAAATTTCTTGGTGAAAAAACACGCTTGCATTTTAGTTGAGTTAAAATTCACAAAATTGGCATCACTCCCTTCGGAGACTATCTAAAGACTAAAAGTATCAACTATCATGGTCTCGTGTTCCAACTCCATTTGATTCCAGCTAGATTGATAATACTCTACAACTGTATTAAAAACAACTAATAAAAACCTTTAATAATATTATACAAGTATTTAACCCTTTTTTAAGTCACTGTAAAAGTTACCATCACAGTACCACATCCATTGATGTAAGAAATAAATTCTAAGTACTAAAATCAGTACCCACCTAGGATAATTTGAAAGTATGTGTAATCTTTACAGGTGGTAGAGCCTTGCTGAGGTCAAATTACTGCAGCTCGAACATAGGCTGGCTCGACCGGTGAAGTACAATCCTCTCACAGAAGATCAGCGTGAGGTACCCCTTAATGGCTGCATTTCATCCGCAATATCTCTTATGTTACGAATGTCCAGGGGCGACAGTACTACATCCATCAGGTAGGACATCTGCTCGTTTGCCCCATTCATCATAAAAAAACCTACTATTACTCTGGAAGGCACGATTTTATATACCTCATACTATATCGTATCTTTCTCATTTCTAGTATTACAAAGTTAGCAATCAGAAACCTACAAATGTCCTCGAAAGCTTAGAACCTATATACGATGTGTTAGTTTTGTGCCTAGTCGTTTGTGCAGAAATGAAAGTTGATCAAGATATTTGTTATGATGTTACCACCATACTTTTAATATTTGCATTGATTATATATTTCTTTTGTTAAAGTTAAAAGTATTAAATTTTTGTTTATAGACTTTTTCTTTTCAAACTGGGCCGGCACACCTCGTATTCTCCCTTTATAAAAAATAAATAAATAAAATAAATAAAAAAGACGTCAGTGGTTTTTTTCTAGGATGTATGTAGGTTATTCGTTCTACGTTCTAGTACATAAATAAAATATTACCTTTCGGATTTGTTACTACCTGACAAACACGACTTCGCCCGCATATTAAACGCATATCTCGCGTGTGGATCCTCAAAAGGTTTTATTCTATTTCTCGCTGATCAATAAGACTAGTTCAGGAACCTTCGAATAAATTATTTTTTTGAAAATCCCGTCAAAAACGATAAAGCCTTTTTACTATTTTATTATTAGAATGGATATAAGCGTTCATCTTGCAACCTTATTGTAACATGACTGATTTAAATACACATTGCCGTAAAAACACATCTACAAACGTAGATATACATAGATGCAATTGTTTTCCAATGAATAAAAAAAATCCTTTTTTCAAAACTATGTTCACATAATCATTGGTTCCTACGTTCAAACGAGTTTGTCGGCGAGTCTTTAAATAGTATAGAATACTTCAACCACGTAAATGTTGTCTGTTTGTTATACCCTATTCCCACAAAATCGGCTTGGGTTCTAGAGA